ATCTCCCCCCTCAGATCCTTGTCCCAAACTCTTTCCCCTCTCCCCCCACCCTCCTCCTGTCATGTTATATAGCACACAATTTACTGCCACAACTGTTTCAACTTCAATTACGGTTTGGATGTCGGAGTGCGGATGCCAGGGTACATTGTCGTGTCAGTGTCCTTGTTTCCTGCACTTCCTCTACCCCTTACCACCCCTCCCCCTCCTCCTCCTTCTCCCATGTTGCGGTTGTTTCATTTCATTTCGACAAACATTTTGTTTGTTGCCGCAAAAGATACAAGAGGAATTATGAAAAAAAGCCACACACGACCAGAAATATGTTCCCCAGCTGGGAGTCCTCGAAGGTCTGGAGTCTCCCTAGGAGCCAACCCAGCAGCCCACTCGACTAGAAACAGGTGCCTGCCCGGAGGCCTGCCCACCAGAAGGCGCTAATTTGCCAACTACAAACTGTATCCGACGAATACGCGCGCATTCTCGGGTAGCCGCGTATCTGTCAGATACCAGCCGAGTCTGTGTGGGCTGGAGACTCTCAATTGATCGGGTTAATTGGGCGAGGTCTTGCTGGAGTGGGGTGGGGGGAGGAGGGGCAAGGCCGCAGATCATCTTGCAGATGCCCCTCCCCAGAGTCAGTCTCAGTCTGAGTCTACTTCCTACTTTCTAGGCCTCTCGATTAATTATTTCCTCGCTTTATTATGCAACTACCCCTTCCGCCCCCCAACCCCCCCGCGGAGCTCTATTTGCACTCATCCATCCGTATATAATATTATATCTGTCTGCCGATGTCGATGTCGGTGTCGCTGTTGTTGATTTTATTTCTGGCTTTTCATAACAATTCGCTTAACCAGTTTGATTGAATCATGTCGAGAGAGGAGGGGAGGGGGGCTTGCAGTGCTTTAATGCAATTTCATCTACCTCCCTCCCTCCCCCGCCAGCCCCTTTAATTGGAATTCCAATTTGGTGGCAGAAACATATCCCGGCCACAACAAATTGTTTTCCATCTCATTATAATGACGATCCGGAGGGGAGGAGCGGAGGAGGGTAGTCCTCCCAGCCAGGCCCTCTAAAAGCTGGCTCCTTAAAGCCACCAGCTGGTCCTAACCCGGCCAGATTGCCGAGCAAAGTGGGCGGAAAGCAGAGTCAATTGGCCGCCTTGCGAGGAGTGCATATGCCGCTTTTCCGGGCTTGAGAGCTCCGGGAAATGCAATTTCCATCTGCCCGCTTCCAGCTGCCGACTGCCAGAAAATGTACAACACTCTGGGCCGGATACCCAAATCTCTCCTAGTGGAGATGGGGTGCCGGAATCCAGGAATCCAGGCAATGCCTCTCGGGAATTACCTTGGTTATTGTTTCAACATTTTTATCTGCCCGCCCCCGACAATAGGAGGCAGGATGCCCTGGGAGGAGCATCCACAAAAATAAAAAGTGGAGGAGGATGGAGGGTGCCTACATATGCCACGAGTACGTCTGGGCATAAATCCCCATTTAATCCGGACGGCTTTTAGCCTCCGCCTCTGGTTTCCCTAATGGGGTTACTCCGAGGAGAAAGGACCTGGTTAGGACCTTCTAGTACTCTTTCTTAGTATATTTATTTAGTATTTTATTGGTATTTTTTGTTAGGGCAACTAGACTCCGGCACTGGCTCTGGAAAAGCCAGGAATTCGTTGCATTCCGTTTTGTTTTTTGTGGCAGCAACCTTTTCAACCACCACCCCCACCCTTTTGGCCAGCCCACCGCCCCTCTCCCCCGCTAGCCACCCACTCCCCAGGGACTTGAATTTTTGCCAAAAACTGTTCCCAGCTTTCGTTTCATTTTTTTTTAGCCTTTAAATGCTTGTTGTGTCTGGCTGGGCAGCCACCTACCTGATGTCCACCTCTGCTCAAGCCCTGTTTTCTGGACAATGGACGATAAGCCGCCTAATTCAGTGGAGGATTACCAGTGCATTGTGCCCTGCTCCCGAGCTTTCCGCTTACTTTTCTTATTTATTGAAATGGCGACTTATCGGAGCGACCGCAATCACAGTCAGGGGGCGGGGATCGTGGCAAGATATGACATCAGGGTCGAAGGTTAGGCTCAAGAGGCTATAAATACCCGTGAATGCTCATATCACGAATTAAACTTCCCGCCTCTGAGATTATGGCATCTCATTTGGGTTTATAGCAGGCTCAGACTTGTTATTATGGCATGGAAGGAGAGCAAAGGAGAGCTGGGATGGGGGAGCTTTCAAACGGGATGAGAGGCTGGGAGAGTGAGAGGTGGAGCTTACTTGTCACTCTCCCCTTTCGCCACTCACTCTCGGCTTAGTGCGTAACCCATTCAACTTGTCACCCATTTTGCTTATCAGTTTCACTTTCTGTTTCAGATTCAGATGCAGCTTCCCTTCCCATTTCCCAGGAAAAGTGAAGGCGATAAGCCGGCACAGAGAGAAAACTACTGGCTATTCCACAAAACATATTACATAAAACCTAAAAAATACCTGTTTACTTATATTTACAAATTTAAAATTTTATTCTTTTGATTTATATTTATGTATTTGCCCCAACTTTTCTCTCAGTGCATTTGCTCTGCCTTTCTTTGGCTCGAAATGCTTTTCAATTAGCTTTGAAAGAAATAAAAACAAGCTCCGGCATGTCCAAATGCTCTCTCGGCTTACGATAAAGTTGCAGTCTAAAGTTTATTCGAAGGTCAACTGCAGCAGCTTGCAGCTTGGTCGTTTCTTTTTCTTCTTCTTCTGCTTCTTCTTCCACCCAAGTGAAGCCCCACAATGTGCAATGGAAAACCAGATACTATCGATGCAGAAAGAGACGCAGCATTTGAACAAAAAAAAATTCATGCTCAGACAAGATGAAGCGCTCAGAGAAGCGAAATACGCAAAAACAACAACAACTACGCAAACACAATGGGGCCAGGCCAGCAAATCGAAGCAGCGTAGCGTAGAAGAAGAAGCTCGACCCAGGTAATCACTGCCAAACGGCACAGTGGGCACGTCATTAGAATAAAGGTAATTAATGAAAAAATAAATAATTATGCATTATTAATAAGGATTACTATTATAACAGTTAAGTTAAATAAAGTACAACTTGAATAAAAGTTTATGATTGGAAACATTTTGTGAATAAAAACCCATCGATTCGACCCACTGCCTGTGGTGGCAGGAAACCGACAAGACAAAAACGAAGTAGTGGAGGGAAAAGGGAAAAAACTGAACCAAACAAAAGGTAAAGGCAAAGGTAGATCCGAAGCAGCTGCCGCTTTTCCCCGCTTTGCGATCGCTTTACCTGGTCCTTTATACATTTCATTCTACTCCCTCCACCCCTCCCCTCCCTGCCATACCTGGCCGTTTTGGCCACTGAAGCGTGTTAGAGCAAGCGAGATGGCCAACAGCAATAAACCTGCTGCAATGGAACGAAAATTTGCATGAACCGCGGTTGGAAGGAGGGGAGGAAGTGGAAGTGGGAAATGGAAGAGATGAATTTGAAACCTTTGCGGATGTGTTTTGGAAAACACATAATCCCAATCGAATTTTACAATTTATAAGCCATAGTTGGCCGATGCAGGTAAGATTCTGGCGTGTCTCAAAATCGCATCTCAGTTGCGCACTGTTTTCCCAGTGTGGGAAGTGTGAGAAAGGGAGATAAGCCGTGCGGGTGGTGGCCAGGTAAAAGAACCGTAAAGGTAATCAGGAAATTTCCACACACGCTCCAAAGCGAAACACGAACTATGAAAAAAGAAACTCAATAACAAGCCAAAGCTTAAGTAAATAAAATGCAAGTTGAAAGTAATTTCCCCCCACTGCCCAAAAAGGCAGTTAATAATTCATACATACAAATGTGGATACTTCCCTTGGCCACCGCCTCACCAGAAGTGTAGGGGCTCCACAAATCAGTGAAAGCGAACGTGTCGCAACTTGCGCATAACGGGAACAAGACTTACCTCAGCTCCAGTTGAATATTATTCCAGCAAATAGTTTGTTGATTCCAGATCCAGTCAATAGACCACAAAACTTTATTAAACTTAATTGTCATTCATAGTTTCACCATGAATGGGGGAGTATTTACTTTTTTTAATGATTTCTTAAAGGGTGTTCAACACCTGCACGCAGGCGCAACTAGCACAAGCTGTAAATATGTGTGTAGATATGCAGCGTTTTTAGTTGTAGCGGCGTCTCTGCGCCACTAAACTTGGTACCGTTTGATCGTCACAGAAAAAAAGAAAAAAAAACATCAAAACAACTGTCAGCAATCGAAACGAAATACGAAATATGCAACTGCAACGCGACGCGACGCGATCCCGCACACCTTTTCCGCTCGAGCAGTTAGATACCTGTTGTTGATACCTGAAATTATGTAGCTTCTTTGAACGATCGTGGATACCATTTCCGATTTACTTTGAAATACCAAGAAATCGATGTGTCGTTTTTAGTATTTTCTGATATTTTGGGTTTGGTCACACTACGGACGTGCGTGAGTTGCCTAGTGGTGGAAGTTCGTCGATAAGGCTATCGATGTTTAAACTAAACCAGGGCTGAAGACACGCGCCACACGATGAATTTAAAGATCCCATCGCTAGCTGGTCTAAAACCATGGATATCTTTTATGGGCAGCACTGTTCTAAAGTTCATTTGAAAAGTTCCCGCGAAACATAAAAACCTTGCCAAGCCCGTGGCAATCAGAATGCAAAAAACAATCACCAACACATAAAAAAACACATATTCTTTGTTAAAAAACAGATTTGTTAATAATTTTATAGTAATAAGCAATACAAATATAATTTTATTTTAACAAAATCTTCGATTTTCTAGTCCGTTCATTGCCCGAGCAACGTTTTCCTTGTTGAGGAATATTAAACTCATCTGCACCGTAGTATAATTGGTGTTAAGAACACTACTGTACAGGTGTGTGAACGTAGAAAATCGGTACATTCATGCAGAAGTCTAGTTTGTATGTCTAACATATGATTGGCGTTTTCAGCTTTACGTGTGTGCCGAAAAAATAAAATAATTATTCAATTAGAATTAATCTTAGGTCTTTTATTCATGGACTTTATTACACTAGTGGAAAAAACTTGATTGAGTTTAAGAATTTCATATTAAAAATGCTCTTCGCGTCCGGATACTGGCGGAACTTACTCATTTATACTACAACCATTGGAGTAGACTGCTAGCGAAAATAACAAACACAAAAACTGGTTGCACCAATTTAACACATAATCTAATGGATTATCTAAAAACATAAAAACAATTGTCCCAAACTAGGAGTATTATGGAAAGGAATATGCACAAGTTAAGAAAATTAAATCTAAAATATTTACAGGCATTTTGCGTAGCGAAGCTTTTGTTCAGTTTAAACTTGTAACCTCTAAATAATAGTGTACTTTTGTTTCAGTATTTCAGTATTTAGTTAGTTTTAGTTTGTGGCTTTGTTCGCCTATTTTTATACATTCTCAAGTACAATAAGTCGTTTTTAGTTTACTTTTTGTTGTAGTTCATACAATTTAGCTAATATATGTGTATAAACGTTTACAAATTTTGAAAAATATTTTATTTTGATTTAGTTAAGGTTGTATTCTCATTTAGTTGCTGTTCCAAATTGGATGACTTTTTCTAAATTGGGAGATAAGTTTAGAGATGAAAAAATGGAAAAGTGATTCTTGTTATATCCTTAGATCCTTACAATTAAAAAAATGTTTCATAAATTTTGTATGTTTGCAAGCGAGCGACGACGATTGACAAAAAATTTGTAGCAATTTGTTGCATTTAGTTTGGTGTATGTAGTTGATTGGCTGCTGCCCCTAAGCTAGAATATATTTAGTCTGTATATACAATACATATAACCATAAATCGTAAACATATCTTTTTAACTGCAACTGCAACAGCAACAGCACCTCCTCCGTCTATATTAGCATCTGTACTGGTATTTGTATCTATGTCCGGCTGCTGCATAACTAGGATATATATGTAGATATATATTGTAAATGCGTCGAGTTAATATATTTTAAATATATATATAGATCTATGTTTGGTTTACTATGCGTGTAGATGTATATATATGTATATGTTATGACTGCGCCTGGAGTGGTTTGGAATCGCGCTTGATTTGGCTTGAAATTTTACAAAATGGCGGAAGGATAAAACTTAAACTAAGTTGAGCGACCGTTGCGTGTCTCCTAATCTTCTGATTCGACCTCGACCTGACCTACAAATTAAACGAACAGGGAGGCGCTACGAACAGAATCCTTCGACCTTCGCTCGAGATTTTTTTTGGATGCAGAATATCACATAGTCAGACATTAATATATACGACTAAAAGTTCCTTTGTTTTTGATTATCCAGCTGCCCGCTTCAGACATGCAGTGTGGAGGAGTCCAGCGAATTTCGCGAGGATGTCCGTCCAATTAGTGTGGTGGTGTCCGAGTCCAGGGGAAACCTTTTGCGCTGCGGACGAAGGAAGAGGAACATGACCAACAGGATCAGGAAGAAGGTCAGTGCCCCGAACACCGGAAAGACTACGCCACCGAGCTCGCTGGGCGGCGGCAGGGCACTTATGATGTACACCCGATCGGTTGCATGGTTGCGGCTCTTCTGAGACTGGTGCTTCCTGGTCGTAGCACTCGTTGTCTTGGTGGTCGTGCCCACCAACTGACTGGTGTCCACATTCAGCTTAATTGAGCGTCGCGTCACACCAGTGAACTAAAAAGCGAGAAGCATGAAACAGATACTGATATACCGAGCCATAAATAAACTCTTCAAGAGGCTAAGCACTGCGCTGCTAAGTGGCAGAGCACTTGTGCCCAATAGCAACAACAGCTTCGTGCCAGCTCCACGACATACCCGGTGCTTGCATTTGACCTGGATGTTGTAGACGGTGTCCGGCCACAGGGAAAGCTCCGCCCAGGCCGTATCCGTCAGCAGGTTGCCAATCAGCCCTCCGCCGGAGACCTCCCAAGTGATCAGGCACTGCCGCGAGGCGTTGGCTATTGCCTCGTCCCAGCCAATGTCAGTGAGGACCAAGGACACCTGGCGCTGGGCCTTCAGCACCCGCAGCTCGAAGGGCGACATAAGATTTTGGCAGCACTGCAAAAAGTCCAAAAAGAGGAAGAGTAAGGACACACTCCAAAGAAAGGAAAAGGCACATAAAGTAGGGCACTTTACCACCACTTTCTTCATCTCTCAAGAAAGAAATCTTAACTTTTAAAGCATCCTTTAAGAGACCTTTTGGGCCTATAATAATACACTTACCTTTGTGCAATCGACAGACCCATCCGGACCACTGCAGTAGTGCCAGCCATTGGGGCTTTTGGAGAACTGGAGAGAGAGAACAATTTGAGATCGTTTTAAAGGGAATTGCGATAAGGTAGTTGACTGTATAAGATTGGATAAAGATTAATAGAACCCAACTGGCGTGACAAATAGGGATTATTGTACAGAAAGAAACTGTCGGAAATATCAGAATGGTGAAATATCTCTGAAAGACACAGTCGGTAATGAGCCCAAACAGTAGGTGGTTGTTTTCTTTACCGATTCAGATTTGTGATAACCAGGGTTCGGGTTCTGGGTTCTGGGTTCTGGGTTCACCGACTCTTACCTGCTGATAGCAACTCTGGTGGCATCTGCTTAATTGCTTGCTGCTGCCGGCAATGGGCAGTGCGACGACAGTAGGGGTAGGGGCAGGGGTGACCAATGCAGGTAGGGATTGTTTTGCCCCTGCCCCCGGCATGGAACCGCTTCCCGAGTTCGATCCCGATGCCTCCCCCTGGGCCAGGGATAAGGCGGTGAGTGCACAGGTTATGAAAGCCAGCGAATGGAACATGTTACTATTTTGAGCCTCTGTTGTGTCCTGTTTCCTCCTCTCCCGGCCTTGTCCGGCCCGACACTCCCTCCTGTGTCGATGGGCGTGGGCGTTAGCTCGTCAGTCCTTCGAGTGTGTTTGTATAGGTATCCGGTTATCCGCGTTCGGGTTTTGGGCGTGGGTGTGGGCGAGGGCGAGGGCGAAGGCGAGGGCGTGGGCGTGCTCAGCAGATTGATTAATTGATTGATTTTGTTTGTTTATTTTCGTATCAAGTGCTGTTGGGATTGTTGTTGGGGCTGGGACATAATAATCGCAGCAGAAGCAGCAGCAGCAACAGCAATATATGGGATGCAAGGGCTCACTCTCACTCTCTCTGTCTCTCTCTCTATATCTCGCAGCATCACATGCTGCGCGAGGATGATACAGAAAAGGCAAACAAATAAAGAGTTATCGTTGCTACTTCCCCCCCTTCCACTCGTTCTACTTTTGTGTCGCTCCGCTGTCGTTTCCTTTTATTTGTTATGTTTGGTTGCTATTTTTTTTCATTTTCTGGCTGCCTATGGGCGGGGATAGCTGGTGGCTGGCGGCGGAGTGGGCGGCCGAGTGGGGCCAGGAATGCCCCAGTTGTTTGACTTTGTTATTTGAGCACCACCTTTTCGGCTCGTCTCCTCTCAGGTAACAAGCACACACGTGTAAAAAAATGTAATAGAGGGAGGATAAATAAAGGGTACACCAACGAAACAGCAACAACAAACACACGCGCGAAAACACAAAGTGGTTGCAAGAAAAAGCCAATCTGGCCATACGCCCTATATCTTTTGGGGAGGGTTCGCTAAAAATTCGACGACCGTATCAAATGTGCGACGCCTTTGAAACGCGACACCGCAGGCACTCTATGATAATTTGCAAGGTAACTGGGGGGCCACAAATTAGCGAGAAACTTTTGTTTCCAAAAACTGTCCGCGCACAGAATCTTCAGCGACTTGGTCTTGTTGGAAGATAGAATGATAAGAGCGCTTCCCCGCAACTGAAACGGTATCTGCGCTAGCGATGGGAGACCCCTTTCGATAGTACGGACATTTCTTTGTCTGGTGTCTATCGACTTTTCGATAGTTCTTAGCGCCAGATTTAAAATTTGACCGCCTATTAGGTAATTTTTAAATAACTTTGAATAATTTTTAACTACTGTTATCTTTTTTCCTTGTTAATATTTTAAAAATAACATTGTTATTAACTAAAAGCAAACTGCTTCGCATCCCTCGCCAACTTGTACATCGGGTGACTGACCGCGGACATAAAATTCTCCGAATTTTAAGAATGTTTACAATTTTTTCTGCTCGCGACCAGAAATAAATAAAAATAGTGTCGGTTTCTTCCTTTGATTAAACGAAATTGGTTGTTTATTTCGGTTCAAATAAGTATGTAAAAGGAAATGATGATACAAAAATAATAATGTATTGTACAATATGTTAATATTATTAATTTTCTCCCCTCTCGCTCGCTCTACTCCAAAGATACCGCTCTCCTTCCTTCTCATACAGAGGTGTAATTCAGTTATAATAATAATAATAATATTTAATAAATTGTCCTTTCCTCAATCGTCGTCCTGTTGAACGGAAAGTAATAGGATTTAGTTCTAGGCTGCGTCCTGCTCCTCTACTCCTGGTCCTCCTCCTCCTCCTCTTCCAATTACAATTAAATATACATAATAATCACAGTGCATTCTGGATTATGATTGGTTTTTTTTGACTCTCTGCTGATGCTTATCCTCCGATTAAGTACGTACACACACGAAATAACAATACGTAATATTTATCTGCATGGTGGCGCGTGTCTGGCTGTTATGTGTTTATTATGTATATATTAAAATATAAATACTATAGGTATGCAGCGGGATAAACAATTTGAATGTCAGGAGGAAAAGCAGATTGGGAATATTTTAATTAAAACATTATATGTAGAAGTAACAAATAGACTGCTTGAATCGCGCTTGAATCCTACTCCAGTTACCGGGTCTGGGTCTATCCTTTTAAATGCTTCTTTTCTAGATAACTCTTTAATATATTTTCTGTTCTGTTCTGCCAGCTGCCATTATCCATCGGGGAATAGTGAGTTTGACTTTTATTGTCTTAAATTAAAACTGAAGGTTGTCTTTTCCACACAAGAGCTTTTACACACGATTAATACAAATTTACAAAAAAATATTTATAATCCAAACATAATAAAAATAATGAATTTGATTTAACAAGTAGTGTGTTTATATATAGATATAAATTAGAAAAAATAGCCGTATATATATATAAGTTAACTGCTCTGCTCTGTTCTGTTCTGCTCTGCTCGGCGTTCCTGCTCGAGAGATGGGTTTTCTGCCCTGTCCGGCTGGCTATAGCCTGCAATGTCCTGCAATCCGACAAAAACAGTCCGACAAACACTGTGCTCCAATTCGAAAACTGCTCTGCTCTGACCTGACCTGACCTAGATGCAATTGTGTGGACGTGTCGGTGTGTGTATACATATGTGTGTTTGTTAACTTATTTTACAAGAAATGTGTGACAACCAAAGGGTGTCCTAGTGTTGCTGTTGCTGCTGCTGCTGGTGTTGGTTTTTTGAATTTTCGATATTGGGCTAATCCGATTCGGCTTTAATACAGTTGCAGTTCTATTCGGCCAGCGACGAATTTTGCTCCGGGAATCCGCTCACCTCCGTCTGCTCCACTTGCTGCTGTCCATCGAGCGCGTACTGTATGCGCAGTCGCATTCGCAACGTCGCCTACAATCGTACATACAGAGGCATTTAAGAATAAACACATAACATGAAAAAGATAACTCACATTCGACGTGGCCACCACTCGCATTTCCTGCGTGATCACCCCGCCCGGAGGCAGTAGAGAGCCGGACGGAGTCAGCATCTGCAACTGGAAACTTCTCTGCACCGCCGCCTGGGAAGTAAAAAAAAGGGAATCTCATTTCCCGCTCAGATCAAGAGCACGGGGGACGCTTACCTTCAGCAAGTACTGCTCCAGAGTGTTTTCAGAGCTGTTTGTGGTGGTCATGTAGATGTGCATGCAGTCACTGCCCCAGACGGCGACCAGCTGCACCAGAAGCCCGTCCTTGTCCAGCGCCGTCATTCGAGGACCCTGAGGAGGCTATAAAAGCAGATGAAATACCTTCCAAAGATGGATGTTTGTTTGCTCACCACTACTATGTTGTTGGAGGATGTTGTGGGGTTCAGATCTCCCAGAAGACTGCCACCAGAGTTGCCGTCGATGAGGTTGCTTCCTCCGGTGCTGCCAGCGGGCGCCGCCAAAGGAGCGCCTCCGCCCAGGCCGCCCAGCATGCTGCCCAGGTCGTTTCCGTTTGTGGCTATGCTGGCCGAGCCATCCAGGCCGGAGCCGAATCCACTCAGATCCAGGCCACCGAGAATGTTGTTCATGTTCGCCGCACTGCTCTGGTTGTTGTCCTCCGCCTGGGTCAGTATTCCTCCACCCCCGCCGCCCGGAGGCACGCCCGTCGTCGCCATGGACGCGGCCGACACGTCCAGATCGAGTAGATCCAGCAGATCCTGGTTGTGGGAAGCCGGAGCCACTACATCGTTGGCGTTCCGCGAGTTCTTTTTATGTACGGCATTTGAGAGATCCGTGGCCGCTACCAAGTCCCCTACGCCTCCGCCCGACAGGTCCGTGCTTCCCAGCAAATCAAGTAGAATGTTCTGCAATGGTCTCCAATTGAGTAAACAAATCCCAATCTTTTAAAGGGTCTGCACTCACCGTATTATCGCCCAGAGTGTTCATATTGCTTTCGATTATTGAGTGTCCACCGCAGTCTCCCTCGACGCCGTTTTCGACCACGTCCGGACTGTTGTCGTCGAAGGACCCGCCGCCGCTCTCGCCGTTCTGTGAGCTTATCCTGCTGATCTGCATGGCCGGCATCTTTTCCAGGAGCGGGGGGCGCAGGTGCTGGTAGTGGCCAAAGAGCTGGGTGAACTCCACGCCACGCTGCTGCAGGTCCACGTTGAGGTGGCTGCCAAACGAGGTGATCAGCGCTTGGATTTCTCTGCAGAAAAGATAACAGTCAGCGATAAGGGTTATAGGACTTGGGGCGGGTGCACTTACTCCACGCACTGCTGCAGACGGGTGCTTAGCTTCGCTAGGGAGACCAATGCATATTGCTTACTGGTGGTCGAGACTTGAGCAGAGGTTAAAAACTTATGATACACGGCGATCAGATCGCTCTCAGTGGGCCGTTCGAACTCTGGGGATGGAAGGTTGCTGTCAACATAAGATACCGGGCTGCCTCCAGACCCCACTCCACTCACCGTCTTCGTTTGCTCCGTACATGAAGAGGTCGCCATACTCGCCTATGGCCCAGACGGCGACCTGGAGCAAGGGCTGCTTGTCCTCGCAGTGATTGGCCACCTGCAGTGACTCCCAGAACCGGTTCGTGATGTACGTCTGCTCCGGAACGGGGCTGCTCGACACCAGCTGTATGGTGGAGGAGACGACATCGTCACGCACGTAGTTCCCGGCCGCGATGAGGACACTCAGCTGCGTGTCCAGGTGCCAGCGCGTGTTCGGCGAGTAGCGTTCCGCGGCCAGGATCATGCCCGAACTGCACTGAGCCTTGAACTCGGCGTCGGCCTTCTCCAGGAAGAGCAGTAGCTCTTTGGTCATTGTACGTATGTTTTGTGCATTGATCAGAGCGAACGAGAGCTCCATGGCACGGCGCCGTATAGACACGTCGGGGTCCTTAAGACACTCCAGGATGGTGGTTCGATGCCGCTGGACAGCCGAGGTGTCTGCATGCACGGTCCGCAGCAGGGTGTTGAGGGCCACGTATCGGATGTTCTTGTCCGAGTTAAGCAGGAAACGACCCAGGATGTTGACGGCCAGGACGCGCAGGCCGCCCTCAGATCTGGGGAGCGGAGAATACAGAGTTATTGGGAAGCCACTTCAGACTTTGAGCGTCACAGCCCACTCACCGGATGTCCATGATGGAAAGTACGGTTTCATAGAGGATCGTGTTGCCCACGTTCTTGCTCGTCTCAGTGTTGGTCGCGACCTGAGCCAGGATGTCGTTCATAGCCTCGGAGGCGTCCGGATCATTGTGGCCGAGGATGCGCAGCAGCCGAAGGATTTTCACCTGCAGGAACGGGTCGCTCACCCCGCTGACGTCGTGCTCCGGCGAGTAGCCACCCAGTATCAGGTTCTTCAGGATGCGCACCAGGTTCGGCACAATCTGGGGGGTTTCAATTCGTTTTCGTATTAGGGGACGGATGACAGCACTCGCAAGACATAAAGAAACACAAGTGGTGCTTATGCGTGTGAAGGGGTATAAACTGTACAAGTTGGAGGAGTGCAAGAAAGCCAAGGAGAAGAAAAGGAACTAAGGCCCGACTCGAGTCCTTCGAGTGACGAAGCGTCTACGAAAAAACGTAATAAACAGGAGTGTGTGTGTGTGTTGCATGAGGGATATCGAGTCTTGCCAAAAAATTGCGCTTAGCCAGGGCCAAGAGTGGGGTTCTGCTGTGAAATGTGTATGTTTCCAGGCATTGATGGCTTATGATACTAAAAGCACCTTCCAGACACCACATCTTCGGCATCAGCTAGAGCTATTGGCGGAAATTGCTGTCAAATTGGACACTTGGAGTGTGATGGCTCCTTTGACAGCAACTTCACATAAACCATATATTGCACTGATCGGCGCTCTGAAACATATACATATAGGCAGTCTGCATTTTGGACGCGTTTGCTTATAGATACTGTGTGTAAGTGTAGAGTAGAGGGCGGGAGACAAGTATATTCTAGGTAGGCACAACAATCATACCTCTCGATTTCCGCTATCCTGGCAAGTATATTACAACAAATTTCATTTTGCGTTTGTGTTTGCGAGGTATTCGAGTTCGATCAAAAACAAACAAGCGTTAATACATTTTAAATATACAGGATTCGATCAAACAATAATATGGTGGGTGGTCGGCATGTGTACGGGGATTATGTTTTCGTACGTGAGTGTATGGGGAATAGAGATTCTAGGACAAAAACGGGAAGTATATGTACACATACATCGGGTATAGCTAACAAAATGGGCGCGTTACTCGTTAAAAAAGAACTATAAGCCGTCTGGAGGCGTTATTTGAATTCAAAAAATTAAGAAATATCCCTAAAGACGGCCATAGTAGCCGCCGCCGCAGATGAAGTAGGTAAGTCTGCCGGTGATTCTGGTTTGATTTGGGCTTGGACCTGGTTCGTCCCTCCACTATGGCCACGTCAACTTACCTTCTTGAAATGCATCAGCGTGTCTGAACTGTTCTCGCACATCTCGGTGATCAGCGTTACGCCAGTGATCAGGATTCCTACAGAAATAGAAGGGTTATGCTTCGTAGCCGAAAAGACCTTTGAGCAGCCACACTCACCATGGTTCTTCTCACTCAGCAGGGACCGTGTCGCTGGCAAGAAGATCTCCATGAGCTCAGGCACTCGGCGAATGACGCGGAAGGCGCAGAGCGTCGCTTTCTTGCGGATGTACGTATTCGGCGACTTCATGAGCCGCTCCACCTCGCTGGCCAGATCGCGGGCCATCTCCGGCGAGGCAATGGCTCCCAAAGTACACAGTGCCAGTCCCACCACGAACTGCGTTGAGCTGTTCAAGTCGCTGCAAGGAAAAAAGGTGGATATTAAAACCTCCGATCTCATTTCATGACAGAATTTTAGCTTACTTCTTCAAGCAATTCGTGATGAGCAGGTGGACATCCTGCCGCTCGTCCAACAGCAGCATGGCGCCCAAGTAGCCGATCCTCTTGTCTGTAAACCGCGTGCTGGCCGTCAGCTTAAGGCACTCCAGTTGGCCAAAGTGAGCCGGATAGCCGAGCATGTGTATGTAAAGCAGCTTGGCAATATTCCGACAGCTGCCAGAGTACATCGCATTAGTTTGGAGAAGGATAATAGGGGCAGGGGGTCGGCCTGTACTCACCGCCAGACGGAGTCCTCCTCCCGAAACGTGCTCCGTATGTAGGCGCACTCTTTGTTGACTACCGCCCGCTCCTCGGCCGCGGTTCTGGCGGCGCGTATCTGTCGGATGAGATCGCGCAAGCGTGTGGGCGTGGGCATTCTGACTGTGGGCGGAACAAAGAAGGCACGTATTAATTGTGGGACTCGTTGGGGAATGCCCCGCCGATGCACTTCGCCCCCTGGCGCGGCTGTGGCTTACCTCTCTCCACCGCTTCTGTGAAAGCTTGCCGTATGGTGGCCATATTGAAGGCAGGATTGAATCTGTCGAAAAAATGTGTACGGTTAGACATTATCGAACGTTACAGTCTGGGTCGGGAGGAGGGAGTTAGGAGGCAGTTACCCATGCTCAGAGTTCATTGTGAAGGCAAAAACGTTGAATCACTTTGTGGAGCAGCTGGCTTGCTCGGCTTTTCCCTCGTGGCTCTGCTCCGCGCTTTATTCTATTTGTTTTGATGGTTTTCTCTATGGTTTTGGGTTTCTTTATCGCTAATACCTTCCCGGTCTATCCCGGTCTACGCGCTCTCTTGTGTTTGTTTATGTTTTGGTGTCTGAGAGTCGTGGCAATAGAGCTCCTCTGCAGATCGCTTGACGCCCACGAATACGCTAAAAACTGCCACACTGACGTCAGTAAACAAGCAAGCTGCCGGCCGCCTTTTTTCGATGCACTTTTGCAGCCCCTCTCTCCTACACTCCCCGACTACACTTGAGAAAAAGGGGGCACATGCAATGAATGTATGAATTAGAGCTGACCTCTGTTGTTATGAAACTGACATCCGTGCGTCTGTGTGAGTGCGCTACCTCAAAGTGCCGTCTGTGTGTGCGTTTAAGCCAGACTACTCATGATCTTAATAATTGGACAGAAAAAGCTCAAAACGGTGTTAACTGCGCTGACAAATCTCCGAGCGCAATGCAAATTGATTGAATTAAATATGTATGTCACAGCCCCACTTCACACCGACACGGAACTGGAATGACCAAGTGGACCCGACCCTACAACTATTGGGGCTGGCCAGAATGTTGTGGCCCGAATACTGGGCAGGCCATAAACAAAACAGCTGCCGTCATCGGTGGCAACATAAATATGTATCTTTACTAATTACTTCCCACAAAAATTAAAAAAACGCAACTGTCACTGTTAGCCAAGCGTTTCTTTTATTATTACGTATTTTATGGGGCTGTTTTCAACAGATTTTGGCCGTAAGTCTTCCTGATGTCTCAGAAACTTATTCGATTCACTGGAAGACCCATACACAGATACAAGGCACACACACACACAGACACACCCGCGACTGACACACACACGCAACTTGGCGTATGCTTTTTTGGGCCAGGAAAATCCCAGTTGTGGGTTTCAGCCAACAAAATTGGTTTGCATGCTCTGGCCAGGTGTGTGCTGCACACTTCGGCACTTTTGATCACCCGGTTGTAGGGTTATAAACACCTGCCACTCCGCGTCGCCGTCAACTTCCAATGCAAAATTTTACAACGCGACAAAAAAACTCAACACACACAACTGTTTTTGGGCTTTCCACTTGTCTTATTTGCTGGAATGTCTTTTCAAAACAGCGGCTTTCCACTGTCGTTAAGGTTAGAACATAGTCTCGCGGCGCGTTCGCTGGATGTTCGCAACTTTAATTCCACAAAACCAACGTAACAAGTAAAAAAAAATCGTTCGTGGAGAAGAGTTGGATGAGCGCAACAGTAGTAGTGGATGCCAGTTAGAGATGTGTTGCAAAAACATCGCAAGCACTATGTTGACAGGGATGGCCAGGTCGCCGATATCGATATTTTAGAGACTATTGCGATAGTTTTAGTGGTGGCCACTTAGAGATGGGTTGAAAACCCTGCCCTGGCACTATCGTTTAGAGAGTCTTGCGATAGATTAAAAACTTATCAGCAGTCGCCCATCACTGGGAATAAGCTATTCCGATTAGGCAAAGCTTAAGTCATTATTTATTAACGTAATTAAACGACTTTGCTGCCGGAAACATCATCCTTTTTTATTTTAATATGTCTATTTTTCTATGAATATCCCTAATTTAAGTTCAGAGCGATAGTATCGGTTCTTCCGCCACAAAAAGACAAAGCTATCTGGCGTCGTGGAACTATTAGTCATTTTAGTTTTTTTTCTTGTTATTAAAATAACAATAGTTATTTAATATCAGACATTGGAATGCTTTCTTATAAACCTTTCAAGATCGGGCCTCGATCATTTTGTCGGGGTTTTAAACTATGTCTTCATAAACAAATATACATACATATTTGTTTATTTTACCCAAGATCTGAATGAGATAAAACGTCGGTATCATCCATATGGCGATGTTGTTCTTCGCTCCCAAAACGCTTACAAGATTATTAGCTGTATCATGCCATAATAGGAAATAGATAACGCGGAAAGTGGTGCACTAAAAACTAGCGAGCAGTAGTGATTTGTTTTTTTAAAGGAACTTTTTAAAAACACCCATACATATGGCCACACTAGGGCGCAATAATTTAATTTTAAAACACAATTTTGAATAATATTCCTTAGCACTCACCTGCGGTTATTCTCGGGCGGCAAAACGCTCCAATCTTGCTCGTAGTACGGATACATGGTGCGTTGCTACTGGATCCTCACTTTAAACTCCCACGAAACCTAAAACTCTCACTGGGGGAATGGCTGCGATAAGCAAAAATGCTTATGCGTTATCTAATAAACACTAACGGGTAGCACGGAGTAAACCGCACCAATGTGCCTCGGCTCCTCTCTCTCTCGACTCTTAGTTTTAGAATTTTTTGATCATTTGCGGCGCGGCCCGAGCGGTGGAAACTCCTGCGGAAGACTGGCAAAGCGCAGAGGCAGTGCAACCAAAGCGGTGTGCCAGTTGAGCGTGCACATTTTTGTTGGTGGCACAGCTCGGTAAAGCACAGTGCCCACTTATCTATGGACTGATAATGCTCTGTGCCGTGCCAGTACCGTGAGAGCCAACAGAAACACACAAAATACCGGCTGGTCGTTTCTTTTCACGGATAAGCAAAGGTGTCATTGACAACCGCCATTGGCCATTAAGGGAGCGGAGCACTTTTAGATAGCAGGCCACTCTCCCGACTGGTACGGAAACCTAGAGCCCACCCACTACCATAGTTTACGTTAGCCACGATCTTGACGATCTCTGGAAAGTTCAACTTTTCAAACTTTTTATACATTTTCGAAATATTTAAAGGATAAAGTTACAATTACATCTGTTTAACCGTCAAAATTATAACAATTATAAATTAAAAAAGTTCTTACTGAAATTACACATCAATGGAAATGTTAAGGTAAAAAAAACGGAAAATGGAAGGGGCTTCTTTACAAATAAAGTAGGTAGGTAAAGATAAACACACTTTTAATGGGAACTCTAAAACACCACCGACCCAAGGTGGTAGCGGCTTGACTATAGCGATCTATAAATATATATTTTTTTAAATAGGTTAAGCTATTTCCCATTTTCCAGATTACTTTTTCTTAATCTAAATCGTTGCACTTAAACTGCACTAATGAGGGGATGCGACAAACTGCCGCTTTCATAACAATATGTATACACAGTGACTCACAATCTCCCTAGATATCAATTAAGCGTAATTTAGCCTTAAAAGTACAAAAATACAATTCTTGTTAAAGCCATTCATGAAAAACGTTGTGCAGCTATGGCGCTTGGCGAGCTATCGGGCTGTTGGCTAGTCATTCTCCCGTGGTGGACGCACCACCGCATGCCGCTTTATAGCCTCCACCAGCCAGATAATTCCCTCGTCTACGCCTTCGCCGTGAAGAGCTGACACGGGAATGGTGAGACAGTCTCGACGGCCGATCAGAGCTCCGGCTTGCTGGAAGACGGGCTTAATCTCGCGCACACCCATCACGTCAGGCAGGTCCTGTTTGTTGGCTAGAATAAGCAGCGGAACTCCAGACAGCAGCTCGTTCTTGATCATTTTGTCTAGGGTCAGAGTTGAAAGGTTACTGAGAGAGCCTTCAAACAAGTCCATTTGTAGTTTTTACCGAATATAATCTTAGACTCGTCCATACGCTCCCGGTCATTGGAGTCGATAACATAGATGACACCGTGCGACTCCTGGTAGTACTTGTCCCACAAGGATTGCAATTCCTGCTGTCCACCAAGGTCCCAAAAATTGAGGCGCACTCCCTGAATGTCGATAGTTCCAATGTTCAAGCCCACTGTGGTGGTGATCTTGTTAGGATTCAGTCCTTTGTAGTTTTTGGTAAACTTTGTTTTTGCTGCCTCCAGGTAAGTCTGCGTGGGTAGTTAAGAAGCATTAATATTCAATCGTCGATGGTGATTGTCTATATTTGCACAAATGTGCCAGCTAAACATTCAGTTTTATACACGAAGACGTGTCTTAAGCCGTACCGTTTTTCCAGCATTGTCTAATCCGAGGATTACCACGCAGTAGTCGTCCTTCTGTGTCATGTATTTGTAGAATCCATGGAGCAGTGCGTACATTGTAAATACTGTCTCCTTTTTGCAAATAACAATAATAAATAAATATTAATTTTGTTGTCGCCTAAGAAATTAGTGATGGCATTTGAAGTAGAGCTAAAAAACCTATATCGATATTTTCCTATCAAACAACACCATAAACACTATAAAAAATAAAATATATATAAAAATAAAAGCAATATTTGGTAAAAATTTGGTTAAAATCAATGAAAATCAAATTATTTCCTCAAATTCTTAATAGGTTAGTTTCCATAAACCAAGTGGACAGTCCCTTTCGACTTTCCCATTCCTAAGTATGACCGTATTCGGCAGTGACAAACCTGGCAATCCTAACAGGCTTCTGTGTTCGTATGCGTGCGTGTTTTTCCACAAATTCCATTGTAAATTTACTGCCTGCTGCTAAAACTTCAACAAAAGCGAGAAAGCCAAAAAAGATCCCGCAGTCATGTCGCTGTCGAGCCTTTTGCCCACTCCGACGAATGCGATTTGGGATCGCGAAGACGAGCGTCGCTTAGCAGCCAAAGGAGCCCCGAAGATAGGAGCCTTGGTGTCCGCCAAAATTGCAGCGCCACCGTACGGGCAGCGCAAGGATTGGATACCTCGGACGGAGGCTGATTTCGGGGATGGAGGTGCTTTCCCTGAGATCCATGTGGCGCAGTACCCACTGGGTAAGATGTTCATCCAGAAAGGGTTCGTTCGTACTACATTTCCCACCATTTTCCACAGGTCTCGGTGCCCCGGGAAATGTGGGCAAGAAATCGAACGCCCTGGCCGTTCGACTCGATGACAAGGGCAAAGTGAAATACGATGCTATTGCACGGCAGGGTCATGGCAAGGATAAGATTGTGTACTCCTCAATTTCGCAGCTTCTGCCCGCAGAAGTTCTGGCCGAAGATGCGGATGAGCTGCTGCGGCCGGATGAGGAAACGGTGGCTGAAACCACTGAGGAGACACGTCTGGCCTTGGAAAAGCTGACCAACCAGAAGATTACCTCCGCCCTGCCCGTCCGCCACGCCCAGAAAGCAGGTCCTGCCCAGTATATACGCTACACACCGTCGCAGCAGGGCGATGCCTTCAATTCGGGGGCCAAGCAACGGGTCATCCGAATGGTAGAGGCACAGCTGGATCCCATGGAGCCTCCCAAGTTCCGAATCAATAAAAAGATACCTCGAGGACCACCCTCGCCGCCTGCTCCAGTGCTCCATTCCCCGTCCCGGAAGGTGACGGTCAAGGAGCAAAAGGAGTGGAAAATACCTCCCTGCATATCAAACTGGAAGAACGCCAAAGGTAAGTTGAAAGTGGCTTGAATGCTTTCTGTTCCTCTTTTAACTGATAGTCGTGTCTCGCAGGTTACACGATTCCTCTGGATAAGCGTCTGGCTGCTGACGGACGTGGACTGCAGCAGGTCCACATCAATGAAAAGTTCGCCAAGATGGCCGAAGCCCTGTACATAGCCGATCGTAAAGCTCGCGAAGCCGTCGAGGCGCGCGCCCAGCTGGAGAAAAAGCTGGCTCAGAAGGAGAAAGAAAAGAAGGAGGATATGCTCCGCTTGATGGCCCAAAGGGCGCGTGAGGAGAGAGCTGGCTTGCGCAACCCCGAGGGAGCCGAACCATCCGGTTCAGGGGCTGGCGGTTCTGAGGCCCGGGAACGCAGTGATTTACGAGCGGATCGGCAAAGGGAACGACAACGCGATCGCAACTTGCAGCGGGCGGCTCCCGAGAAGCGAACAAAACTTCAGCGCGAACGAGAACGCGACATATCCGAGCAGATCGCTCTCGGCCTGCCGGCGAAAAGTGCCGGAAATGGAGAGACACTATTCGATCAGCGCCTCTTCAACACCACCAAGGGTATGGATTCCGGATACGGAGATGACGAGGCCTACAATGTTTACGACAAGCCCTGGCGTGATTCCAACACACTGGGCGCCCACATTTATCGGCCGAGCAAACAAGCAGATTCCGATAATTACGGCGGTGACCTAGATGCCATTGTGAATACAAAGCGATTCGTGCCGGATAAGCAGTTCTCCGGCGCTTCCAGGGAGGCGGCTGCCGCCCAACGGAGCGGCCCAGTGGAGTTTGAGAAAGAGGAGGATCCCTTCGGCTTGGATCAGTTCTTGAACATGGCCAAGAAGGCGCCGAAAAGGGCGGAGGAGAAGAACAACGAGCGCAGCAGCCACTCAGACCGCAAGCGCAGCAGGCGTGACTAAAGCTTATGTTTATGGATGGCTACAAACATTGATTCCTCATCTGGATTTTCATCAACAGTTTTTTCTTTACTACTTCTTTGACTTGGGCAGAATTTCAATTGTAATCACAGGACGCTCTGGGGTTTTCCATAGAAACTACAAAATAAATATAGATACAAATATGTACCATTTTCATAGAAGCTACATTAAATTATTGGCCTAAGACTATGTCCCATATTAGGTCTAAGGGTTTCTACGGGGTGGCGACAGATCCGAGATAACATTACTATAATCTAATGGTCATCTCGGGTCTTTTAAAGTTTAATAATAAACACACCATCGAGTCAAGTCACAAAATAAACAAGTATTTGTATATATTATTGATTATTTTATTGAATTTATTGATTAGTCATGTGATAACAGAACGTTTTTTGAATTTGGCGCCTCGCATTGAAAAGCTAGTAGTTTTCAAAAGGGGAGCAGGATCCTGCCCATTAAAATCTGGTAGTTTTAAATTATCCTTAAGCCCAAATTAAACAATTAAAATATAAAGAAACTAATTATTAAATCGGGAGTCAAATAAGTCATCCCTAGGCGGTATTTTTTCGCTGCACAGTCACTGGTCACACTGGGTGTGACATTGAGTTGACTTTTGATTCAGTTTAATTATTATATTTACCCCTAAATAGTGATTCGCCAACCACCAAACATAGATTGAGAGCAATTAATAACTCCACTGGACTATTTTCCCATAGGATGCGCCACGGAGGCGGATTCTAGCCGAGTAGGAAGCGAGCGGAGACTGCACGACTGCTCCACTAGCTGGTGAACAGCAGGCGCCTCCGACAGCGTCTCTTCCTGCTTGTGCGGGGCCCACAACAACACAAGATCCCAGCCGAACCGAGGCCGTTATGTAAGTTTAGCGGGCTGGTGATTGTAAACAACAAGTGCAAACCACAAGTGTACCTTGCCAAAACCCCATAACAATAACAAAGGAACTCCGCCTGGTCCGGACACTGATGGGTGGTCACATCTAGCTTGTGTTTACGGTTTCGGATCAGCATGTCCCTCAATTTATATTATTTATAAGCTAAACCCTGACATATATATTAAATTGTAAATATAGGCGTGGCTAAAAACGAGTCTAAAACCTCCAATCTTTCAGAGAACCAAATCCACAATGCGTTCTCGGAGCAATTCTGGAGTCCGCCTGGACTACTACCAGCGCATAGTCCACCGACTAATCCTAGCTCACCAGGAACCTGTGACGGGGCTGTTCCCCGCCTCCAACGTGAATTCTCATGCCTGGATCCGCGACAATGTCTACTGCATTCTGGCCGTATGGGGACTGTCCATGGCTTACAAAAAGATCGCCGATCAAGACGAGGATCGGGCCAAGTGCTACGAGCTCGAACAGAGCTGCGTTAAGCTGATGCGCGGCCTCCTAATGGCCATGATGAACCAAAAGGACAAGGTGGAGAAGTTCAAGATGACCCAGAGTCCGTACGACTCCTTGCACGCCAAGTACTCCAGCAAAAATGGCTTGCCCGTCGTGGGCGACAACGAGTGGGGTCACTTGCAGATCGATGCTGTGTCCCTGTACCTTCTAATTCTCGCCCAGATGACGGCCTCGGGGCTGCAGATTGTCTTTTCCTTGGACGAGGTGTCCTTCATCCAGAACTTGGTCTTCTATATCGAGTCGGCCTACTCTATACCGGACTATGGAATCTGGGAGCGAGGCGACAAAACCAATCATGGTACAAATACAATAATATGCTATAATAACAAACATGAGTCCGATTTCATTTCTGTATTTTTGCCAATTTAGTTCCGATTCTTGAGTGGGTTCAATTGAATTAACTGTACTGTCTTTCTAGGTGAACCCGAGCTGAATGCCAGCTCCATTGGCATGGCCAAGGCCGCTCTAGAGGCCATGAACGAGCTGGACCTGTTCGGGGCCCGCGGTGGTCCCGCCAGTGTCATCCATGTCCTGGCTGACGAAGCCCATAAGTGTCAGGCGGTGCTCCAATCGATGCTTCCTCGCGAATCCAACTCTAAAGAGCTCGACTCGGGACTTCTGTGCGTCATCGGCTTCCCTGCTTTCGCCGTGGACGATGCCCAGTTAATACACAACACCAAAGACGCGATCCTCTCCAGGCTGCAGGGAAAGTACGGCTGCAAGCGGTTCCTGCGCGACGGCTACCGCACTCCCAAAGAAGATCCATCCAGGCTCTACTACGAGCGCTGGGAGCTGCGCATGTTTGAGAACATCGAGTGCGAGTGGCCGCTCTTCTATTGCTATCTGATCCTGTTCCACGCCTTCCAGAGCGACAAGCGGGCGGTGCAGGAGTACGCCGACCGTTTGGAGAAGATCATGGTTCGATCAGAGGACGGAATACTGCTGGTGCCGGAGAGCTACGCGGTGCCCCAGGATTTGGTGGGCTTCGAGTACCAAAAGCCGGGCTCGCAGGTCCGCGAAGTGGTCGGTCGGTGCCCGTTTTTGTGGGGCCAGTCCTTGTTCATCCTGGGACGCTTGCTCCAGGAGGTAAGCGATTCGTAATCATGGGTTTCACCAGTAACCATCGGTTTTTTAGGGTTTCCTGGCCGTGGGCGAGCTGGATCCTTTGAATCGACGCCTCGGCGCGCAGAAGAAGCCAGACGTGGTCGTCCAAGTGGTCATTATTGCCGAGGACAACGAGATTCGCGACAAGCTGGCGGAGCATGATCTGCATGTGCAGACCATAGCCGAGGTGGCCCCCATCGAAGTGCAGCCGGCCCGGGTGCTCAGCCATCTGTACACCTACTTGGGTCGTAACCGAAAGTTGGGCCTGAGCGGCAGGAAGTCGCGCGACGTGGGCATCCTCAGCACCAGCAAGCTGTATTCTCTCAAGGATCGCATCTTTGCCTTCACCCCGCAGGTAAGTTGGAGTTCCCAGACCCGCCTAGTCCCCACAATTCTTTGAACCCCGGCCAACCTTTTCTCTCCCCAACCTCTATTCTGTTTTAAACTTTATTTTACTGTATTTTTCAGGGGTGCAAATGGGGTGTTATGAGTAACTGATTGATTTTTTGATTAAATATCTAGCAAGATGATTATTGATTGATGATTATGATTTATATTTGACGTATTATTGAGCTCACAACTATGATTTCAAGTCTGATTTCGCATCTCAAAGTAGTATCTCTTATGCAGTTATAGATATCCTTCCGTTTGCAACCCTGATCCTTTGAATTTATAGTTGACTTATTCCTCGTTTGATTTATACCATATGTATTAGTTCGCCGACCTGTCGCGCTTCTATATCGCCTCCGATAACGAACTCATGATCGACATCCTCAAGGGCGAGATCAATTTCCTCAAGTCCGCTTGGGATCTGCTGGGTCGTCCCCTGGTCACCCTGGTGCTGAAGCGCATCCACTTAGGTCGGTCCGCCGGAGCGAGTAGAAACCACAATACGCAAGACTTTTTCGTTACATCACTCTACATGCCTCTTGACTTATTATTTATTTCTATAATTAAACCCCTATTAATCAGGTGTGCAACGCCACCGATGTGTGTTCTCCCCTCCTTTTAAGTTTTTTAGTTTGCTCTTTGTTGTTTTTTGATTAATCGGCAGAGGTTTGCTTTTGGTATTGGTATTTTTTATTATTAAATTAATTAACTAGTTAATTGACAAAAACACACAAACATACAACGCGCACCTATGGTTTTTGTGAATGAATGGGCCGGGGCGTGGGGTTCTGGGACGTACGTGCCCGGACCCTGGGCCGTACCAGGACCCTGGGCCGTACCAGGACCCTGGGCCGTACCAGGACCCTGGGCCAGCCCTTCGTAGTCTTACTTTTGCTAATTCTTAGAAGACTGTTCTCCGTTTGGTTATGGAAGCGACTACATCCGCACGGACACACACACTGTACCATATAGAAACCGATCATAACTCACCATACCATTTATTTTTAGATATCTTAGTGAAGTTTATTTATTATTATTTAGTTTGCCCCCATGAGCTGCTCTGGAATTCCGTTCTCCCCCTACTTCCATTCCTCAAAATTGGCCAAAATGCATATCTAAAAAAGTGTAAAAATAAAACCAAAACAAATCCTTTCTCTTCTTTATTTTATCCAATTCGATGATTGAAATAACAATGAAATTCGAATGCAACCAATACAACACAATCAATACAAATCCAACAATACTTGCAACAACAACTGCAAACCGCAAACTGCAACAACATACTGCAACATAAACACACACAGCATATCGACTATGAAGAATATTATACCACACGCGATCCCGACTTGCTTGCCAGCAATTTTACCACAAATTTAGCCTTCTTGACCAACAATTGGCGCCACATGTTGGGCAGGCCGACAATCACACTAATGGCAACCCACTATATGCTAGGTAACTACCCATTATCGAAACCAAACCAACCAAACCGATCCCATCTCGATATACATAGCCACATGCTAAATTTCAATCCAAGGTCTCCCCCGAAAGTCTTACCTCTTATCCCCCACTCTGCACTCCAGCAACTCCTGCAAAATCAGCACTCAGAGCCAAGATCCACTCGATATATACGATATATACTATAGACTATATGCTACACTACTATGCTACTCACACCCGACCTTTGAATCCCGCTTGTGTCTGCTTCAGTAACGTCCTGACTGCTTCTCCGGCCTTCGACACAGTCTCTATCTCCGTTTGAATGACCTAAACCTAAAGGAACCCCATATACTAAACTAACTAGACTACTAACTAGACCACTCCAAAGTTCAGGCCCAATGTGATCCTCTAGAGAAACTACTTAAACGCAAGCTACCAAGTAAACTAACACAGCCCTCTGCCTTAATCCGTGCTTTCGTGGGCAAGGTTACTCCATGGTTGTGCATAACCCTTTCCCTAGAAGCACGCAGAACCAATTGCTGATGGTGTTGGCCTCTATGATGAAAACTGTATATAACGATTGTACGGCTATTTTGTGTGACTAAGTCCTAGCCTGTAAGCCACGCTTCTAACAAACAGACCCCGCATCCCAAACAGATCACCTGCATCGCCATCATTTGAACCCAACCATCCACCTCAAAGTAAAGCTAACAACACTCTCAAAACAGATCAGGAAAAGATACCGCTGGCCATGATTCAGACCATGCGCAAACTCAAGTCTGGCTACATCAACGGCACCCGGGTGATGCTGGGAAGTCTGAAGGACTTCCTCAACACCTCGGCCATCACGGACCTGAGCTTCCTGGGCAGCACGGAGGACGGCTACCCGGATCGCCTGCACCCGGACGTCCAGACCTACTTGGAGGAGCACCTGCTTCGCTCGTTCAGCAACCGCAGCACCATGAATCTCCGAGGTGGCCAGCTTCGGCCCAGGACCTTGAGGCGGCGCATGTCCTGCAAGGGAGCCATCAAGAAGACCCGCTCCATCAATGTCGACTGTGAGTAGTACACCTGCCCTCTTCCATCCCTTTCTAATCTGTGTCTTCCGCAGCCGACAACCTGGGCATGGAGGGACCCTCGCCTCTGACCGAACGCCGACTCTCCTCGATTGTTCCCCCGCCCTGGCTGCAGGCCAACAAGCAGAGCCACGTCAGTGTGTTTGCCACCACCCCGGAGGAGGGACCCAGCTCCCCGCTGCAGCTGGGCAATGAGCTCTCCGTGCGGGAGAACATCTACCCGGTGGATCCGCACAACAACCGCTCGGCGATCGACAGGCGCAGCGAGTTTGTTCGCCAGCAAGAGAGTTAGTCTCCAAACCGATCTCTATTTTGTTAATTTAATTTATTTATTTTATTTAATTTCGTTTAACGAATTCGTTCTTTTCTGTTTTAATTTCTTGCATAAACTTTTGTGTATGATTTCGATTGATTATCCACCGATTGCGTTGCAAACCCGATAGTAACCGTGCCAAAAATTCTCATCCAACGCCATCGCGCGGAAACCAACTTTGCCGACACAGAGGTGGAGGAGCTGATTGCCATGCTGAGGGAGACGGAGAACCTGGAGGAGCAGGGCGACATTCTGCAGTACCTGGTGGACACCCAGGGCCTGGACTTCAACACGGGTGAGCGCAGCATGATACTCATTTTAGGTTAAGGGCGCAGCTTCTGCCTGGTAGTTGAGCAATATTGGTGAGCCGAAAACGGGTTTCAGACATCCCAGGTAACTCCATCCGGGATCACCCTCATATATATATCACACTCTGGTGTCCATCGGGCTTAGTAGTAGCCGGAGGATAAGTTGGTAGGACTATGTTAATGACCAGACATTGAATCACTGTTTTCTTCATTCTTTGCCGTCCTTGTCTTGCGTCCCGTGTCTTGTTCCGTGGTGTTCGCAACCGAATCCATTTCTCAGACGGCCTGGGATTCAAAAACAAATCGGACGACAATGCTAGTGCCAATAACAGCGCCGGTAAGTTCCGGAGAACCTATGTGTTGATTGTTGTTGTTGTGTGGGCTTTTGAAACGTGAATCCCATCTTAGCCATCCTTCTCTCCCAATCCCACACCCGCCACATTTTATCAGACTTTCCTGGATGATCCTATTTGGCTCCTGTTCCTTTGGTTGTTCCTATTCCGCTATCAATGTGGCATTAAATGGATTCCATCACACATCTTGATTTATTTCATCAAAAACTAGATTCTACACTCATCCTATTTCGGTTTAAAAACTATTTAATTATTTAACATTTTATTTTCCTCTCTCCGCCTGCGACCTGGCATTGAAACCCATCTACACTCACATGGCGACCCACTTACACACCACACACGCACACCCCGGCTGCTCCATTCACACTAACCCACTAACATTCCTCTTGCATACTTCCGTCGAAACAACAATTCCAACTAATACTAACCCGTAACCATACCCGTAACCGCAATCCCTAACCGTAACCCGTAACCCGAAACCCGAAACCCGATAATGGTAAAAGAACTCGAGCAAGCGTTTGTTGACGAGGTGGTGCTGGGACTGGCTGGTAGTGGTGGTAGTTTTGTTGCTGAGGCTCCTGGTGGCGAGGAAACGAAGAAGAACCGGTCGCAGGTCGTGCTGCCCACGGTGATCATCGATGCTGCTACGATTTCCCCAGATCCAGACAGCGCCGGAGGCCAGAGCGACCACAAGCACAGCCACAAGGTGATCAGCCCCGACTCCCAGTCCAACTCTAGTCACATCAACAACAGCAATAGCAACAGCAACAGCAGCAGCAGCCATATCCATAGCAACAGCCACCACCTTGATAATAACAACGATTCTTCCCAATCCGAAGGCATGCTGGAGGAGGGACGCGTCGTCACCGTGCGCGACCTGCTCAAAGGACTCTACGAGAAGGCGTGCCAGCAGAAGCTCTGGGGCCTCGTCCGACACACGGCCGGCATGCTGGGCAAGCGGGTGGAGGACCTGGCCAAGGCCGTGACGGATCTTCTAGTGCGACAGAAGCAGGTTACTGTGGGCATGCCGCCCAACAACGAGCACACCATTACGGCTCCCCTGCCGGAGGTTGAGCTGCGTCAGCTTATCCACGATGTGAGTATCCTTAAGCAACTTTCCAAACCCACCTGGTACATCTTTGTATTGCCGCTATGCAGGCCTATGGGGACGACGAAAGCACGGCCATGCTGACGCAGGAGCTCATGGTATACCTGGCCATGTTCATACGCACCGAGCCGCAGCTGTTCCACGAGATGCTGCGCCTGCGCGTGGGCCTCATCATCCAGGTGATGGCCAAGGAGCTGTCGCGCACGCTCAACTGCGACGGCGAGGCGGCGTCGGAGCATTTACTTAACCTCTCGCCCTTCGAGATGAAGAACCTGCTGTACCACATTCTTAGCGGAAAGGAGTTCGCCGTCAGCAGTGGTGAGTTCCAGCTTCGGCATCCACACGATCTGCTCTCTAAAAGTCTGCTTCTTATTTCCCCCAGTTGCCCGCGGCAATCTCTCCATTGTCAGCTGCAAGAGCAGTCGCGTCAGCAAGAAGAGCCAGATCGGCTTGGGCGATCCGGAAGGGGAGGATGCCCTGATAGCAACCATCGACGACCGGCAGGGGCAGTGGCTGCGACGCCGCCGTCTAGACGGTGCCCTGAACAGGGTGCCCAGGGACTTCTATTCGCGCGTGTGGACGGTTCTGGAGAAGTGCCAGGGCCTGGCAATCGAGGGAAGGGTCTTGCAGCAGAGTCTCACCCAGGAGATGACGCCCGGCGAGCTGAAGTTCGCCCTGGAGGTGGAGACGGCCCTGAACCAGATCCCGCAGCCCGAGTACCGACAGCTGGTGGTGGAGGCCCTGATGGTGCTAACCCTGGTGACCGAGCACAACATGGTGCCAACTTTGGGCGGAATCATCTACGTGGAACACCTCGTGCACAAGGCCAATCAACTGTTCCTCGAGGACCAGCGTAAGGTGCAGGGCGATGCCACGCTGTGCTGCGCCAAGATCAAGGACGGCAAGGAGCAGCAGCAGGCAGCCTCCGGCATGTTGCTCTGCGGCGGAGCAGCCTACATCTGCCAGCACTTGTACGACAGGTAAGCGACGCGTGACCTTGGACTTTCCAGAGAACTTTCACCCATGCATGTACTTCGTTTCAGTGCCCCCAGTGGTAGCTACGGAACCATGACGTACATGTCCCGGGCGGTGGCCCTCGTCCTGGACTGTGTGCCAAAGCACGGCGAGATGGAGTGCGCCATTTCATAAAGGACTCTGCGTCCTAAGGTCCTGAAAATCTCTCCCTCTTTGAGATTTGTTAGTTTTGATGTTGTATCAAATATATTTCTTAGAACTTTTTTAAATTTAATTTGTAACTCGTACATGTTAATAAATTTAATGCAGAACTTCAAAAATTGTTTCGTTTTCTCTTGAATGCCCCACAAGGAAGTCCATATCTTGGCCAATTTTGTACTGATCCTTAAGAGGGATACCTTGATTGATTTGTAGTTCGATTCTCCACAATTCTGCACGAAAACCTCGACACGAAATTTTCGATCCATTTTTTTCAAAATTTTCTAGAGGGACCTTGTAAAATGGGGGTTTTCTACATATGGCCCACAATGACGTCCATATCTTAACCAATTTTGATCGGATCCTTAAGAGGGATACCTTGAACGATTTGTAGTTCGATTCTCCACAATTCTGCATGAAAACCTCGACACGAAATTTTCGATCCATTTTTTTCAAAATTTTCTGGAGGAAGCCCTTGTAAAATGGGGGTTTCCTACATATGGGCCACAAGGACGTCCATATCTTGGCCAATTTTGATCGGATCCTTAAAAGGGATACCTTGATCGATTTGTAGTTCGATTCTCCACAATTCTGCATCAAAATCTCAACACGAAATTTTTGATCCATTTTTTTCAAAATTTTCTAGAGGGAGCCCTTGTAAAATGGGGGTTTCCTACATATGGGCCACAAGGACGTCCATATCTTGGCCAATTTTGATCGGATCCTTAAGAGGGATACCTTGATCGATTTGTAGTTCGATTCTCCACAATTCTGCATCAAAATCTCAACACGAAATTTTCGATCCATTTTTTTCAATATTTTCTAGAGGGAGCCCTTGTAAAATGGGGGTTTTCTACATATGGTCCACAAGGACGTCCATATCTTGGCCAATTTTGATCGGATCCTGAAGAGGGATACCTTGATCGATTTGTAGTTCGATTCTCCACAATTCTGCATCAAAACCTCAACACGAAATTTTCGATCCATTTTTTTCAAAATTTTCTAGAGGGAGCCCTTGTAAAATGGGGGTTTTCTACATATGGCCCACAAGGACGTCCATATTTTGGCCAATTTTCATCGGATCCTTAAGAGGGATACCTTGATCGATTTGTAGTTCGATTCTGTACAATTCTGCATCAAAACCTCAACACGAAATTTTTGATCAATTTTTTTCAAAATTTTCTAGAGGGAGCCCTTGTAAAATGGGGGTTTCCTACATATGGGCCACCAGGACGTCCATATCTTGGCCAATTTTGATCGGATCCCTAAGAGGGATACTTTGAAAGATTTGTAGTTCGATTCTCCACAATTCTGCATCAAAATCTCAACACGAAATTTTTGATCCATTTTTTTCAAAATTTTCTAGAGGGAGCCCTTTTAAAATGGGGGTTTTCTACATATGGCCCACAAGGACGTCCATATCTTGGCCAATTTTGATCGGATCCTTAAGAGGGATACCTTGAAAGATTTGTAGTTATATTCTCCACAATTCTGCATCAAAACCTCGACACGAAATTTTTGATCCATTTTTATCAAAATTTTCCAAAGGGAGCCCTTGTAAAATGGGGGTTTCCTACATATGGCCCACAAGGACGTCCATATCTTGGCCAATTTTCATCGGAGCCTTAAGAGGGATACCTTGATCGATTTGTAGTTCGATTCTCAACAATAGTTTTGGGGGAAAAAATCTAACCATGGCGTGTATGTTAAAAATTTTATTTTTGTTAGGCATAAATATCATTGATTTGTCTTGGGGTTTTGGTTGACGTTTTACGGTTTTGTTAAACTTATATTTTCGCAACAGATGTTTACAAAAATTGCATTTATTAACAATAAGCTTAGTTCGTTTTGCTTCTTGCTGAAGTTTTAATGTTTAGACATTTTCGAAATGTGTTCTTACAGTGTCTGCTGGTACATTAGCTTCATTAATGATTAGGGAAAAGGAAATCACACAAAGAGATAGTTTTGCGAGAAAATGTGAAGTGTGGAGCAAATGCAGTATGTGATTGTGTTGTGGATGTGAACAGAAATGCTTTTCTTTTTTTTTTTTTGTTAGTAAACAAAACATATTTGTTTAGCAATTAAGTTAAACGAGTTGGGAATTTAAAAAAAAATAGAATCCTAGAACGAGAATACTTTATCGCTTAGCAGTAGCCCCTGTCGGGAACACGTCGGCGCGGGGCGCACCTGATAATGTTGTCGACGCGCAGGATCATCTCGGCAGCTTCGGAAGCGGACATCAGGACCTGGCGCTTCACGGCAAAGGACTCAGTGATGCCCAGTTCGCGGACATCGGCCACCTTGCCCTGCTCCATGTCGAGACCCAGCTGGTGCTGGCCCTGGGCATGTCCGGCGCGGAGTTCCGAGATCAGTTGAGCTGAATCGTAACCAGCGTTGTCGGCGATCGCTGTGGGCAGGGCCAGAAGGGCACCTAGGATAGGAGGAAGGAAGAATTAGAATAACTTACAAAAGAAGCTGGTATTCAGTTATACTCACGGGCAAAGGCTTCAATGGCAATGGCCTCCTTGCCGGGCGTCTCGGCCGCCTTCTTCAAAACGGCTGTGGCCATAAGAGCCTCGGAGCAGCCGCCGCCATAGATGATGCGCGACTCCTTCACGGTGGCAGCCAGGACGCACAGGGCGTCGTGGAGCGAGCGGTCAGCCTCGTCCAGGATCTGTTGGGTGGCACCGCGAATCACAATGGTGCAGGCCTCGCCCAGCTTGACGCCGCTGAAGCGGAGAAGGGTGTCCTCGCCAATCATCACCTGCTCGATCAGGTCGCACTCGCCCAGCTTGACCAGCGAGGGATTTTCGAAGGTGGACACAATCTCGCCACCTGTGCAGTAGGCCAGGCGCTCGATGCCGTCAAAGTCAGCGTGCTCAATGGACATCACCTGGGCGTCGGCGAAAAGCTGCTCCGGGTAGTTGTAGATGAGCTGACGGTTGATGAACACGTTGCACTGGTGCTTGAGGATCTTATCGACCTTCTCCTTCATCTTTTCCTTCTCGGCCATCTCTAGGTCGGCAATTTTGGCCAGAGAGTCCACCTTGATGCTGCTGCCGAAGACCTTGATCTTGTCGGTGTCCATCGGCGTGTTGGCAATGAGGATCTTGGCCTTCTCAATCTGGAATAAAAGGGCCATAGTAGACGGTTAACATACTTTATCGTCTACAGCTCTTTCTCGAGCATCCTCTTGGCCCTCTGTCGATGGTTATGTCTGTCCACCAAACTCGTCAAAATGGCTGTGATATGGCATCAAATACGCATAAGTCACAGTCATTTCGACGCGTTGGGAAACAGCAAGATTAGCAGAAGAGGAACCGGGTGCTATAAACTTCACCAAGGAAATAAATAAAATACTGACGCGCTGAGGCTGGTGCACGCCTGGCTTCTTGTCCAGCAGGAAGCCCTCATCCAGGAACGAATCACCCAGGGTGCCGCCGGACTTCTTGATAATCTGAATGGACTTCAGTTCGCCGGAGCCCTTGAGACGCAGAACTGCGTCGACGGCCAGATTGGCAAAGAAGTCCTTGTGCTGATGCAGAATCTTAGAAGAGAGCGTGGTGCGGGCGATGTTCAACAAATCGTTCTTGAACTTCTCGTCGCTGGCAGAGTTGTCCTGGGCGGCAGCAGTGAGGGCCTCCAAGGCAACCTGAGTGGCCAGACGCCAACCGGCGACGATGGTCTGCGGATGCAGCTTCTGTTCCACCAACTTCTCTGCCTCACGCAGCAGCTCGCTGGCCAGCACTGTGACCGAGGTGGTGCCGTCACCCACCTCCTCGTCCTGCACACGCGACATGTCGACCAGGATCTTGGCGGCCGGATTGTCAACGCCCACAGCACGAAGAATAGTGGCTCCATCGTTGGTCACTTCCACTTGGCCGGCATTGCGTCCGGTGGCGACCAGAATCTTGTCCATTCCCTTTGGTCCGAGGGTGCTTTTGACCAGATCCCCGATGGCGATGGCACCAATGAACGAGGACAAGCGGGCCATCTCGGCCTTCTCCTCCTGTGCCTCGTTCTTGAGCACACGCACGGGATTCAAGGACATTTCCTGGAAGAGAAGAGAGAAGTTGGGTTAGTTAAAGCTGGGGAAACTCACCATTATTCCTAATATATTAAAACATATAGTCCTACCCATGGTAACTAAAGTCCTGATTCACTTTTCAGGATCTAGAACCATGCCTGAAGCTGGTTAACTGTAAAATGGTAAGCTCTCGACCGATACTCGCCATTTATAGGAGCTTGGCTTGAAACACGATCCAAAAGTGGTACCGAGTGTTCAGTGGTCCCACCTGGACTCATTTCTATGAAGTCCAATGGTCTTGCAAAGATTCTTGTGATTCTCCGAATTAATAGGCGCCATTTGGCTCGGAAAAGTTTCAATTAAGTACGAGGAAGTTTGTTTTCAGGGAAAGCAAAACGTTTATGGACGCTGCAGCTGCAGGCAGACGCATTTCCCGAAAGAAATTCGAACTACAGACTTACAGAGCTATGCGTTAGTTCTACTATAAATTGGATCAGGTATAACGCTTCTTAACAAGCTTTAAAGATTTTATAGCACTTGACAGACTTATGAGAAAAATCAAACTTGGAATAGGTTTTTCTTCTGTACAAGTAAGGTCTTCACAATCTGAACATTTCAAAACGACATAAGCTTTGTGTTATATTTTTCTCAGTGCATTCTCGGCTCGCCCTAACCTACAAACTAAAGGCACGAGAGAGCGGCCTCTGCGGAGTGAATCATCCGTCGGCTGCAGAAGCAGCGTGGATGACATCTGGAAGGTTCTTTGAAGGCTTCTTTCTTAAGCTGATCACTTGGTCTAGCATAAGGATAGTAAGCAGCCAGGCAGAGAGAATCTTCTGGAATCCACGCTCCGCCAGCCGCTCACGTGCCTGGCCCTACTCCAGCGAAATCAAACGACGATGCCGCCGTCGCTGCCGCCGCTCGCACACCCGGCAAACTAATGCACCGAATCTCTTGTTTTTGTCAATGAAAAGTCACAGAATTTCCTCGCAATCATTTGCTCGCGTCATAAACTGTAGAAAACTTTTAGATTTTTCAATTAAAATTACCATTTTCACTGCTTTATAGGATGGTTTTTGATCACAGAATTTACGAATTTACCACACGGGTGCAAAAGGTGACAAAGAAAATGGTGGTGTTGCCAGTAGGACTGTCTATATTTCTATCGTTTCCCAAAATATAGTATTTTTTGATATTTTTTCTTTGGTCCCACTATCATTCATACAAATGCGCGCTCAGGGGCCACTGCGATATCTGAGCTAAAACATCGATACATTTTAAAAATACCCAATAAAACCAACATATGTTTTCCAGAGGAAAATTTCGATAGATGGACTAAAATATCGATTATTATATAAGAAAAATACCAAATAATAATTCTTTCATGGTGCCATCACCGATAGGGCTCGAAAAAGGAAACAAATTTAAAATGAGCCGCAATTGAAAATTAGAAGTTTTTAAAATTTAATTATTTCTAACAACTAATATAGTTATCAATATGCACAAAACAAATATGCCCCTGTCTATTGCGCTGCTTCAGTAGTGGCTTTTTTCTCCAACTTTTTAGCCTTTTTCGCCTGTTTTTTGAGAAATTCGCTCTTGTCAAGATTGTTCTGGAAGAAGGTGGTCTCCTTCCGAGCCTGTGATACTTCTGTTTGGAGCCGCTGCTTGTGGACCGCCTGCTCGTAATTCATACGTTCCGTCAGGTGCACCCACTTGAAGCGCGGAAGGTATTTCATGCTCCAAAGTGAGTCGTAGAATTGTGATTTCTTTCTTGTCGATATCTGTTTGTTGTTCAGCAACGGGACGATTTGCTTGGCCACACGCTTTGATTCGAACTCCACCCAGCCCTCGGTGAAGTGGATGTTGTACCGCTTTCTTTTCTTCTTAGCCTTCTCACCTGGGTAGTGCAATGGAGGGAGATTATTAGAATAACTTATAACATCTATATGTTAACCTGAAAAACAAACTTACTCGAAACCTTTTCCGGCTGCAGGTACACTCGTCCGATTGTTCCGAATTCGCTCAAAATTTCCTTCAGTCGTGTTACGTTCATGTGCTTGGGAATGTTAGATATGTAGATGATTCCCTTCTTGCGTTTCTTGACGGCAGCGGAGCCACTAGAGCTCACTTTAAAGTTGGCCAGATCCATTTCATCGTCGTCGCCGCTTTGTTCCCCAGTGCCCTTCGACGGAATCTCTACCAGCTCCATGTCCTCAGACATTTCGTTTTCCTTTGCCATTTATGTTACAAAACAGGGTTTGTTTTCTATTTGATAATAGCGTGGTAAACGAATTCTTTACACGCTATTTGGGATGTGACTTTGAAGCTGCCGATATAGGATAGGGAATATCGATAGTTGCGTTTCAATCGGAAAAACGATTCAAATATATAATTTATTTATTATATTTAGCAGCAACATATGTATATTTAGGGGTCTTGAATTCAACTCTCAACCACAAAATGGGAACTCTAAAATATTTAAGAACTCTAAAGAATTTACGTTTCCACCTTTTCTGTATCCCCTGCGCCGGCCAAAACAGACTCCTTGCTGATCTCCAGAAAGGATGCTTGCGACATCTCTGTATCGTCCTCCTCCTCCTCGACCTCCATCTCGAAAATTGTCATTTTTCGCTTCCGATCCGAGAGAACTGTAGCCACTTTCCGGCTACCAGAAACGGCTAGCATCTCGCACACGCCATCTAATCCCTTAAAGGCGACTCCATCAGCAACGTCATGGATACTGTGGGTTACTGTAGCTTCCTTGAGCTTCACCAGTGTTCCCATTTGGTGCTGGGTGCTCTGGTTTCTGGCTGCTGCAAGCGAGAACTGTATGAAGTAGCTGTGTGGCCGGATACCGGGAGCCGATGTCGTGGTCTGCGCCAGCATGGAAAGCGCCGACTCATTGTAGAACTGAAGGTCCACGAAGCGCAGGTGGTAAAAGTCCTCATGAAGGGCTGGCGTAAAGATACCCGGTTGCAACTGAATCTTTGTGCAGCGCAGCAGACAGTCCCCTGCTCTGCTGACCTCCAAAATCATGGCTTCCTGCCAGCTGATGGTCAGAGCCAGCATATCACATTTTGTATTCTCATTGACGTAATAGCTGCATGTCACGAATTCGCGATCCTCCAGGGCTTCGCCTGGCTCCATTGGGGGCAGGTCGGCACAAAGAACCGCCGAAGCTAGCTTGAAGCTTCCACTTATACTCTCGGTTGGCTTGTGGAATACAGCGTCGATTGCATTGAACATTTTCTCCCGTTGCTGGACCAGAGACAGTTGCTTGTCGTGTGGCACAAACAGATTGCAGTGGTTAATGCACTCATTCTCTGCTACCATCTGTTCCCATAGCTGACTGGGGTCCTTGGTGTATGGCTGGGTGAGCTGTGCGTTTTCGAAGTACTGTCCCACGCGTTCCAGGTTAAACTTGTTCCTTGTGGGCGGTGGTGTTTCCGACAGCAAGTCTGCTTCAGATTCCTCCTCTTCGTCGCTACGATCCTCGAGTTCCGGCTCCATAGCGCACAGAAAATCGGCCAATGCTATATTCTCTTCCTCGGTCAGGACAAGATCATCGGGTATTTCTTGATGGGATAAACGCAAAATGGTGAAAATCATCCAGGCGTGAAAGAGCTTCATGTCGTACACCAGTGTGTCAATGGTTTTCTGCATTTCGTAAACCTTCAAAACAAAAGCGCCACAGGCTCGCATCGCCTCGTTGGCCATCTCCGGTGAAATGAGCGACTGGAAAGCAAAGATTTAAAGATTATAGATCCGATTATGTCTTCAGAACTCCCTTACTGACCTCAAAGAAGTGCGACATCCGACCGAAGCCAGCAATTGTGTTCAGAAAGTACATCATGTTTATGGAAGCTGCATTAAGTTGTTTGAACACCAAACCTTGCAGGTTGCTCAGACTCAGATCTACAGAGTTGGCTATTTTCTTGAAGCCCTTCTCCGACAGGGTGCTGTGTAGAAGGAATTTATATAAATTGTGTTCTCCTGTTAGCTACGCAACTCACTCGAACAGAAACTCCTCCACCTCAAAGGTGGCGAATCCAAAAACATGCAGCTCCAGAAAGTGAGCAGATATCAAACCGTAGGGCTGTGCGTTTGCATATTTAGTGAGTTTGTTGTCCATTTCCAGCTGTACGGTTTCCCAGGCCTCCGTCAAACATTGCTGGGTGTCGTTGATGTAGCTTTATAGGAAATACAATCAATGGCCATCTTTCTACGCTAAGGGTTTCATTCGGTGCTTACTTCTTAGTCTCCAGAATATGGGCACAATGGGTGGCTAACTCCAGCATGGGCGCCATGCACTCCTGCAGTACTTGGTTGTGGAAGTGTAGCATCTTCAGTTGCTGTCCGTCCCGAAGCAGAGCATAAATGGCGTTAAAATCGCCGTTAAGTCGGACATCGTAGACGTCGAACTGCTCAGGATGCAGGACATGCTGAGTAAGGTCAATACTGCCAGCCTGTAGAGCGCCCAAAAGCAGCAGATGCACCTTGCCGCTGCGCATGATAACTACCAGAAAACAGGGTGAGCCCTTCGGGAATGATTTTTGGTCGAGCGTCTTCAGGCAGGGATCGATGTTGGTCAGAGGCTGTAGCTTGGGCAGGAACTTCCGGTGCTTATCCTTCACATTGCAGGTGTAGGTGCCTGATCACGGTGTAGGATTCAGATTAGATCGAACAGTACAGAAAAGGTTGAAAACAAATCACTGCACCCAGGGTCTCCTGCGAGTTTATGACCTTGCTGAAGTAGACCTTCTTGATGTCGTCCTCGTAGATAAGGCCCGAGATTATCGTCTCGCTCTCTGCGTCCAGGAGAGCCACCTTCCCGTTACTGTAGCCCACTGCCAGGAGCGTCTCGTCCATCTGCCAGCTGAGCGAGCGCACCCGCACATCCTCTCCCGGGGTGGGGAATGTGACGATTTTTTGCCAGTTCAGTCGCTGGATGATTACTTCACCTGTAATGGAGAAGTGTAATCATTTGTAGTACTTATGCTTGAGTCGCAGCAGCACCAGCTCCAGCACTAGCTTACCCTTTTCCGTGCCATAGGCGATCAGGTCCATTTTGTTATTCCATTCCATGCGCTCCACGATGCAGGTCATGTTCCTGGCGCCCAGCAACTTCATGGAGCTCGTTTGGGCCATGTTTAGAGTTGGGTCGCAGCCGCCACAGCTTCTTCACATTCAAATTGGCAATTTTGTTTCGAGTTTGCACTTTGCCGGCGTCTGTCAGGGGTCTATCGACTTGGCGGAGATATCGATTGCACGGCAATCGTTTTGATAACAAAATACCCAAAATTGCACCCTCCTTCTTAATTTTTTTATTTCATGAATAAAACACAAAAGCAGGTTTTTAATTTCTTGAACAAAACCAATCGTTAATTTGATGTAATCAAAAAATAGGTTTATTTAAAACAAAAATTAATACATTTTCAGCTGTGCCTTGGGAAAGTGCCTTAACAATTCCACTAAATGCTCGAGTTCAGGAGTATAATGAAAACTAAAAGGTAGACTTCGCTCTAATGTATATTTTATTCTTTCATCTGTCTTGTCATATTCGGGGAAATGAGCACCATTCCTGGATGGATTGTTTTGGCGCAAAATTTAAAATTACGAAAAGTATATTTCCTCGATTAAAATCATAATTTAACGAACATTATGATGTGAAGTCGAGCCAAAAGCTTCTCTTGAATCGCTGGTTCCCAGGTGATCTGATCGTCCATACAGACAAATGTGTTTTGTGTGTGAATCTATCATTTTTTACAATTTCAAACGCTTAGAATAGACTTATTATCGGAAGCCAAAAGCTTCTCTTGAATCGCTGGTTCCCAGGTGATCTGATCGTCCATACAGACAAATGTGTTTTGTGTGTGAATCTATCATTTTTTACAATTTCAAACGCTTAGAATAGACTTATTATCGGAAGCCACTAGCTCCTCCGTCCTACGCACTCCGTCCTTATCCTTATCTTAGCCCGTGCCACAGACACACACACACATGCCTTTTTACGCAAGGACATCATCGAGCAGATGTATTAGGAAATTGTAAATTAATATACGATTCCTTTAAAAAAAGTTTGACTTCAATTTAGTGGTAAAATTCACTGAGAACGACGAAAATTTCAGTAAATAGAGATGGTGGCTTAAGGGCTACGCTAAAATGCTACAATTTATGCATATGTGTGTATAAACGGACCGGCGTGTATGTATCCATACAGATGTGGGCCCACAAACGGGCACCTAGTCGTCGGCGTCGCCGTTCCCAATCTCACTGCTTTCCTCCGGCTTGATGTTTTCATCCTGGTTGATGCTGCCTGTCGGACTACCAGCGTCATCTTCGTCTCCTCCCTCGGCGGTGCTGCCGCCGGGCGTTCCAACGCTTCCCGATGTAGTATCCACGCCTCCGTTGCCTCCTGATGTAACGCCTCCTGTACTGCCGTTACCGTTGCCATTCCCGCTGCCGGTATGCCAAGTGAGTCGCTCTTCGTAGAATCGGATTACCACCTGGGGACAGCGAATGTTGGCCAGCTTGGCCGGCACCAGATCAGCGTGATCACTGCCCTTCCATTTCATTAGGAACATTAGGTGGCCGGATGAGTCGGTAGCGCCAAGAATCTTTGATGCCTCCAGGCCACGCTCGAAGCCAATGAGCTTCTTCTGTTCCTCCGTCTCGTCCTCCATGAAGCTCTTGCGCTTACTGCGAATAGAATCGGATGTGGATGAGGTGGATTGCCGCTTCTTGGTTTCTTTCATGTTGTTCTTCAGAGACTCTTCAAAGTTGGCGATTAGGTCTGGACAGTCGAGATTCTCCACCGGTTCCCAAGTGTTTTCACTGCGCGGGTAGCCTTTCCACTTGAGGTAATATTCTGTGCGTCCGTTAACTGTCCGCTTGTCTTCAACGCGTTCCACTGAGAATTCAGCCATTGATTCTGTTTCGCGGTTCTTGTTTTGACGTTTTCTGCGTTTGGATTTTGTCTCTTTCTAGTTTCCAACTTTGTAGCGTACAACTTTGTAGCGTCCAAAAAAATTATTTGCCTCCGTCGTTTTGGGTCCGTTATAAGAAGAAGAACGGCGTACGTGCGGTAAGTGATGAACCACTCGTTTGTTGCGAATATCGGCAAGTATCTCCCGCACCTTTCAAATAATGGAGGCAATGGGGAAATACAGAATTAGATTGATTTTTAAAGTATAACCATTATATTTTACCTGTTTTTTTTTGCGGTACTTTTCGCCAATGAAACAAAGCAAAGAAATTTACTGCACTATAAATGTCTCATCCCTAGTGACTTTTCCGATATTTTTGAAGAAAGCAATCGATAATCGTTAATCGTTCTGTTACACGTGAGGCTCGTTTTGAAGTAAACAATTTTGAAATAAAAATAAAGAAAAATGGGCGAGTTTATAGCTGAGATGCAGGAGCGTTTGCTCCCGGAGTACGAGCAAATGAAGAACTACAACGTATTCAAACCGGATCAAATTAGGTAAGTCCGCGCCACCTCATTGGAGACTCCCTGTACTTATCCTACCATTCTTATTCACAGAGAAATTGTCCTCCGACGGGAACGTTTTTTCGTGAAAATTTCTAAGAGCCACCAGACAATCTCCGACTACCTTGAGTTCGTATTGTACGAAAAACAAATGCACCAGACCATAGTGGAAAAGGAAAAAAAGATGCACGTAAAGCTAACTGGCCTTAAGAACTCCATCTCCATAAGAATTTTGCGTTTGTATAGAGAAGCGCTGGGAAAATTTACCCATGATAGGCGCCTCTGGAAGCACTGGATAAAGTTTAGCAAGAAGAACAACCCTGTCGAGGTGGCTGGCATCTACGAAAAGATGCTGTTGGTGAGACATTTTATTCAAGCACATGTCTTCAAACGTTTTCCAATGTTTGTTTTTTAGTACCATGGGGACGAACCGGATGTCTGGGTGGAGGCTGCTGAGTGGCTTTACGAGCATAATCGCCTGAACGTCTCCAGGGTTAAGGATATACTGCTGCGAGGCCTGCAACGTCATCCAAGTTCGTCAAAGATTAACAAGTGTTTCTTTGATACTGTGCTTAAGGAAGCAGCTTCTGCCAGTAGCGAACGCAATCTTGCAGATAATACGCTTTCAGAGCAAGACGTTAAAATGGAACAAGTAGAAGCCGTCTATCGCAACAGCTTGGCGAATATTACGGAGCTCGACTATTTTATAAGTATCCTCGAGAGCTGCGAGGATTACCACGAGATCACAGGCAAGGTGCAGCGTATGATTATCGATGACTTGCAGGAGAAGTTTCCCCGCGAACCGGGACTCTGGGAGATGCTGGCACAGCGCGAGCTGCGTGGCTTCCATTTGGGCGACTTGGCGGAGGAAGGTCAGGAGTCTAACAGCGCCGATCCGCCTCCTAGCAAGAGGTCACGTACCGTCAATGTTCGCTCCATGAAAAGACGCATTGAGCTCTGTGTCGCTGTCTACAAGTCGGCCGTGGAGGAGCTACAAACAGCTGAGATGTGGGACAGATATTTAAATGCCATGGTAGCTATGAGCACTGATGGCAACGTTGAGCGCGTCCTGAAGCAACAGTGCCTGGCAAACGCCTTGCAAGCCGGCCATCTTTCGGGCATGATGAAGGTCAGGCACTATGCCATCCTACGGAAAATGCTGTGCAGTGCTCCCAGTGGTCTGGAGGCGGCAGTCACTATTATAACAGAAGCTCTAAAGCACGACTCTTCCGTTGAGATGCACGAATTGCTGCTGATAACTCACATTCAGAATGACAGTGAGTCGCTGGTCTACGAACTGTTCCAGAAGATAAAAAGCAGCATGGGCGCAGAAGCCTTGCCGCTGTGGAAGACCACGATTCTGTACTACAGGGCACGTCAAGACAGCCTAGGTGGGCGACGACTGGACGAAATCTATGACCATGCCTGCAAGTCAACCTGGCCGGAATTCGGAGAGCTTCGGTTCGATTATTTGCGATACTTGTGGCAGGAGCGCTCCGTGGATGAGGCACGCAAGGAGTACGCCAGGCTCGCCGTTCAGCCGCCGATGTCGTTGGATATGCATCGTCAAATGGCCCAGCTGGAGGCTAGTGTGGCAGTTCGCGTAAGATGACACCAGGGAAATCATTCAAAACCTCTCTATATATATCTTACCCTTTCCACAGGATGGTTCAAGCATCAAATACTGGCGCATGTGCTACGAGTTTATGGCCTGCTATTTCGGTAAGACCGAGCCGCGCATTTGGGTGGAGTACCTCACTTTTGAGCGTGATCACGGCGAGACCAAGAACATAGCCCTTCTAGCCCAGCGAGCCCTCACCACACTGGAGCCCAAATACGTACCCGCATTCGAGTCCGAGAGGGCCCTGTCTTATGTGGGAGCCTCTGTAGAGGCGTAATTGGTAGTGACCCATTTGAAAAGATTGCGAAAATTGAGTTTTTTTTAAGAAATTTTGTTACTAGACTAAGTTCATAGACTTAATATGATAGACCTGAAATGAGTCTACCTTATATGAGTGATATTACATTGTACGAAAATTTTAAGTATATTGTTTGGGTTGGATGTTGTGTCGGATAGATATCCACAGGACCTTGCCAAAGTAACTGCCGAGCCATTTGCGTCTCGCTTTGGAGCTCACTCTGCCGCCTTTTCTGCCGCCGCTGCTGCCGCTGCCGCTGCTGCCTCTGCCGACTGCGACGTAGACACGGGGTGAGCATGGCTATACATTTCAGCTTCATTCAGTTCGCTCGCCAACGCCGTGGAATCAGCACACGCACCGGAAAAACCTACTCTACCCAGTACGATCCGCAATCCTGTCTGAAGAGCCAAATCCTAAACCAGCGCAATGGAGTTCAACAATCGTCTACTGCTTAAAATCATTGAGCTGGTGAGTGATTTGATAATAAATTAATTAATGAAGACAGATAAGTGTCATCAATTAAGTCCATGAATTAATTGCCTTTTTAATATATAGTTGTGCCTTTTTATACCAAGGATTTTTGGTTATTAAACTGAGTGAAGATCTTGTTTTTATAGTACGATTAGTATAGTACGATTTTATTTTGTATTTAAGCGTTAAGAATGTTAGTTAAAAAACATGTTGTGCCTCATATGTACTACGATTACCATTATGGCCTCTCAATGGCAGCTGCCCCGCTCCGTCCTTAGTTTGTTGAGGAAGGCCACAGAAGGGTAGCTGGAAGATGAACCGGTTTTGGGACCAAAACAAATGCCATGACTTCACTTCTTGAATACCTTTTTCTTTTGTTCTTCGGAAGCATTGCGTAGTGCGTAGTGCGTAGATTTGGGCTTGGATTGTAGATGATAGATGATGTCAGAGCCAGATGAAACGCACCGCTCATCCTTAGCTTCGATTGTTTTTTGGCTTTTGGTCATGACCGCTTTTTTTCCGGGGTTCCCAGAAGGCAATTACGCGGCTATAACGCCCATGATTTCGGATATGATGTCACCCGCTCAGCTCCGCTTTATGTGATCTCAGCCGAGGCCGAGCCGGCAGAGATCCAAGCTCATCCCATGTGCCCGACCAGCCCGACTCGTTCTCTTGCGCAGTGTTCAGTCCAATTTAATTTTATTTTGATTCTCCAGGTGTGTCTCACTGGCTGGTAATTGACTTGCAAATTGCGAAACTGCAATTGTCGAGTTTAAATTAGGAGTAGGACGGAACTCGCAACACATTTTCGGCCATTCAGGCCATTCAGCAATAAAGGTTCTCAGCCATCCACTTTAAAAGCCTTCTATTTCATGGTTAGCTGGCTTTGGGTTATTTTTCTGACTCCACTTGCCTCGTAAAAGGTTCATAACTCACATAGCCTTAGAAACATTTTGTTGAATTTACTTTCGGACTTGACACATGAGATTATTTTCTATTAAAATAGAATCATAATCGGGAAAAGTGCAGCCGATTTCCTGCGTGAGTCACTCTGTTTGGATCACGTACTCTCCGAATACTATATTGTCCAGAGATTTATTTGCATTGCTGAGGCAGCGATCGCGACCCTGGCTTGTTTATTTTCATTATTTATCAGCTTGCAGGGAAGATTCAATTGGCGCGGGTAGCAGGCACGATTCAATTGGCATACATATGGAACGGATTCCGAGCTCCTTCTGAGTTAATCTCGTTCATAAAGTAGTTGTTTTCTTATTCAGACTTATAGTCAAACTAGTACTCAACTCAGATCGGTGACGTGACCCACTTTGAGGCGCAACACTCGATATTGCAATGCGGATCATGTCCGTTCGATCCGACCACACCCCCCAACATGGGCACTGGCACTGACTAATCCGCAGCGTGCTGGAAAAGCAGCTCGCCGGTGATGTCATCACCTCACATGGCCGAAAGCGAAGAGCCGTGAGAGGAGCCGGCACGCATTACGCATACGCCATGTGGGATCGTCGGGCGGTCGCTCGATCGGTCGGTCTATTGCATTGTGTAAACACTGGGAATGCTCTCGGAATAGCTAATTGGCAATGACTGGCTAGCTACTACCAGACCCACCTCCATCTGCCGTTCATCATCCCATATCCCATCTATAGAACAACATCATATCATATGGGAGTCCTTCTGGGAGGCCGAGTAGAGCTCGTGCTAAAATAAATAATAAGTAGTTGAGTTAATTAGCTTAATGAAACTTTATTCATTGCTTATTTTTTTAATAGAACATTCCTGAAAGGCTTTTAAATATCTTAACGGCCAAATAAACGCCTCCGCTGCAAATCTCTGCTGCGCATTTGTTGTTTATTTTTCGCCGATCTTCCCGAAGACTTATTTATTTGATTTGTGCTGCGGGTGCGAGTTCGAACGCCTTTTCTTTATCTTCCCCTTATGTATATTCCCCATATTGTATCTGTGTAGTATCTTTATCGTACCCTTGTCCCTGCGGCCAAAGTCAATGGCACGTCAGGCGTCGATATAATGAATGGGCCATACCTGGCCATATCAATTGAAAATAAAATGGATCTGAGGCCTTAAAAGCTTTGGCTATTTCTGCGGTTGCTCATCGGCCACCCACCCACCAACAAAAAGTACAGGCCAAAAGACTCCCAAGTAATGGCATTTGCCTTTAAATCTATTATTGGTTGATGCCACAAGTCGGGGGCCAATGGTAATTATTGACACACATCGATAAGCTGTCCCCAAATCAAATAGGTGACCCCAACGGGCACTGGGAGAGCGGAGCCCCACCCACGGACAAATGATATTATTTACGCCAAATAATGTCGCATTAGGGTAGTACGCCGCCCTAATGACCTAACGACCCTCTCGCATTGCAAAGCAAACACACGGACATCGGGAAGGGCTAGTCTGTATCCTGGGGCCTGCCGCAGGATTAGGCCAATTAGCAGATCCGTCTGCTAATTGATTGATAGCTGGCAGTTAGCGAGAGGTGGGAGTGCCGTTTTGCTTCCATGTGTATTCAATTAGGTCCGTTATTGATGTCGTCCATTATCAGTGTGTCAACATCCACATCCAGTGCCACGCTTGATAAGCAGAGCCCCCCTTCTAATGCGCCGGCTTTTGTGAAGTGAATGGGGGGAGAAGTCCCAACAGGCACTTCACTTCTGGGAAATACTTTCCGATTCCCCTTTTGATTGATACAAAAGGGGATAGTTTGAAAATTTAAAAAGTGTATTCGTACGCTGTTTGATTCTTTCGGAACCTGTGTTTCCGAAGGCGTCCGACCCACCTGGAACTCGTAAACTGCGATCCACCATGTGTGGGCCAACTTCCGGCCGTTTCGGCCAGCACATCCATAAATAAAAAACTATAAAAGAATGCAATATAAATAAATCCCATTAGCCGGCATGGAAATAACGAATCTAATCTATCCTATCTAATCTATCCTTCTTTTAAATCTTCCAGGCCATTGCCATCGCCTGCATCGTGATGTACGAGGTCGATGGGGCACTCTCCTCTCGGCCCCTCATCGTCTGCGGCACCATTGGCGGCTTCACAATCATCTGCGGAGTCCTGCTCATCGGTAAGTTCATGATGTTTGTCCTTTTCATCCTTTAAACCTAATCTAATCTAATTCACAGGCCATGTAATCAATTCCCTGGTGGAGAAGCGTCTTAATGCCTTGATCTCTCTGATCGGCTGCGTTCTGTTTGTGGCCTCCGGTGCCCTGGTGATCGATGAGTGGCACGATGCCATCCTGCAGAAGGACAGGAAGCGCAACGCCATCGCCGCCGGATCCCTGATGATCATCAACGGAGCCGTTTTCCTCCTGGACACGCTCTCCATTTGCCGAACGTAAAGATCGTCCAGCAGTCGTCCCTCATAAACATCCCTATATATGATAACTTTTTTTTTTGAAACGAAACTCGAATATGTAACTCATGAAGAATCTTGAGGAATCTTAAAGAATCTACCTTATATATATCGCTATTTTCTATGTACTGCATGCTTTGTAAATGTTGTGTACCTTTTGCTTGTGATCTGTCCGAATCTGTGGCACTGAGATCCCTCCTCGGAGAGTGTCCGACATCCATTAAATATATATATACTGCACACACATGCTGCTAAAATCACACACAACTGCTAGCTGTTTTTGTTTTGCGGTTTCTGGTAAATCAAACACGTCTTGGACGCTGGACGCTGTGCCTCTGCCATACTCATCTGTAGCAGTGCCCCTGGGAAGAGCGCGATGTCACGTGCCGGAAGAACCTTCCTCGAACATATTTCCCAGAGCCATTGTTAGCTTTGGATTCTGTGTATGAATCCTACAACTGATCCAGTCTATAGTCTAGAATCCCTGTCTGCCCAGCGTTTAGGATTAAAAGAAAAGGATTTCGAGTGGAACGCGAATTTAAGCCGCTTCATAAGCCTCATTATTTGTTATTGCCAACGGGGTTCTTTGTGTTTGTGCTGTTTTCCTGCCAAAAGCTTTTTATAATAATGAATATTATTTTAATCATCATTTAATTATTTAAATTCATACCGATTCTGTATAAAAACAATTTGTTCTGAACAGCCGCACTGTAATCCCAGTATTGGCGGAAGCTCCAAAGTCAAAAACCCCCCCTGAGATACAACGCTTCTAAGATGAGGGATACGTAGATGCGGAATGCTATGGACAGTATGGAGCTTCAGATGCACGCCAAAGACTTAAAACTGAATTGTGATTTAAATTTACGTTTTTAAATTGTTATTTTTATTTGTTACCTTTTTTTTTTGTATTTTATTGTGTAATATTATTTTTGGAAACTGTTGAGGTCATTACCTCTTTTTCCATTGATGTTTTCTTCTGGGAACTTAATTTTCTCTGGCAGATCTCTGGCGGAGATTACGAAGTAGATGATAATTGGCTGCAATTACGTCTCCGGAGCGTAACCATAGCATTTGTCGACTTGAGATCCCAGGGCCAGGTTGGGGTCAGGGTCACAAGGGGCTTCGACTTTTCTGTTCCATTTCATTAAGGTTTCTATTTGTAAGCTTGTATCAAAAGCTAGACTGTGCGATGGCCGCCGGAAAGAAGGAAATCATGGCCTGCGACTTCGAGATCAAGGGAAAGCTCCCCAAGGAGGCCTTCGAGTTGTTCGCCGTGGCCCAGGCCAAGACCCTCGGACTTCGGGGATTCATCACCCAGGTCAGCGAAGACACCTACAAAGGAGTACTCGAGGGCGAAGGTAAAGTCATCGAGGCCTTCCAGAAGCTGATCACCAGTGCCGGCGAGTACGTGGCAGCCATCAAGGAGTTCATCATCAAGAACATGAAGGCCATCCAGGAGTACACATACAAGGCCTTCGAGGTTCAGATGAAAAAATAAAAGCAATGAGGACAAGGGGTCAATCATTGGCCAATAATATACTTTGGTACATCTTTTGAAATTATTAGTTGGATGTGTACTGAAAATATTATAATATCTGACCCTATTCGAACCCTATTCCAGTTTTTTGAGTTGGCATGTCCTAAATAACTAATCGATTCTCGATTAACAAATTTCAGCACTGAATTTTTACCTCCGAAATATTCCTGGACAAATCTTCATTCGAGTGTCAGCCTTCATAGCACTCGGATCGGGCTTTTCTATTATTGTTTTTGTTTATTTTAATATTAATTTTTTTTAAAAGATCTTATTTTATTTACCATTATTTGCATTGGATTTCTCTGTCGCCATCATTTGTCCTTTCATTTATTATTTTTTTTTATTTGGATTTTATTTTTTAAATATTATATATTTTAATTGTTTTTAAAAGATTATATTTTTATTTACCATTCTTTGGATGTCTTTTTCGTCCGCTTCTTCAGTGGTGTTGGCGGATCTGGATTTTATTTTTTAAATTTATATATTTTAATTGTTTTTAAAAGATCTTATTTTATTTATTATTCCTTGCATGGAATTTCCTCATCGCCATCATTTTCGGCATTGTCGGATCTGGTTTTTCTTTTCGTTTATTATTTTTGTTTGTTTTATTGGGATTTTTTTTTTATTTTATAAATTTTAATTGTTTTTAAAAGATCTTATTTTATTTACCATTATTTGCATTGGGTTTTTCTGTGGCCATCATTTGTCCTTTCATTTATGATGTTTTTTTATTTGGATTTTATTTTTTAAATATTATATATCTTAATTGTTTTTAAAAGATTATATTTTTATTTACCATTCTTTGGATGTCTTTTTCGTCCGCTTCTTCAGTGGTGTTGGCGGATCTGGATTTTATTTTTTAAATTTATATATTTTAATTGTTTTTAAAAGATCTTATTTTATTTATTATTCCTTGCATGGAATTTCCTCATCGCCATCATTTTCGGCATTGTCGGATCTGGTTTTTCTTTTCGTTTATTATTTTTGTTTGTTTTATTGGGATTTTTTTTTTATTTTATAAATTTTAATTGTTTTTAAAAGATCTTATTTTATTTACCATTATTTGCATTGGGTTTTTCTGTTGCCATCATTTGTCCTTTCATTTATTATAATTTTTTTTATTTGGATTTTATTTTTTAAATTTATATATCTTAATTGTTTTTAAAAGATTATATTTTTATTTACCATTCTTTGGATGTCTTTTTCGTCCGCTTCTTCAGTGGTGTTGTCGGATCTGGATTTTATTTTTTTAATTTATATATTTTGATTGTTTTTAAAAGATCTTATTTTATTTATTATTCCTTGCATGGAATTTCCTCATCGCCATCATTTTCGGCATTGTCGGATCTGGTTTTTCTTTTCGTTTATTATTTTTGTTTGTTTTATTGGGATTTTTTTTTTTATTTTATAAATTTTAATTTTTTTTTAAAGATCTTATTTTATTTACCATTATTTGCATTGGGTTTTTCTGTGGCCATCATTTGTCCTTTCATTTATTATAATTTTTTTTATTTTGATTTTATTTTTTAAATTTATATATTTTAATTGTTTTTAAAAGATTATATTTTTATTTACCATTCTTTGGATGTCTTTTCGTCCGCTTCTTCAATGGTGTTGTCGGACCTGGATTTTATTTTTTAAATTTATATATTTTGTTTTTAAAAGATCTTATTTTATTTACTATTCCTTGGATTTTATTTGGATCGTCATTGTTGGATCTGGTTTTTCTTTTCGTTTATTAGTTTTTTTTGTTTTATTTGGATTCTTTATTAAAGATCTTATTTTATTTACCATTCCTTGCATTGGATATCTTCATCGCCAACACATTAAGGATTGTCGGATCTGGTTCTTCTTTTCTTTTATTATTTTTGTTTATTTTATATGGATTTTAATTTTTTTTAATTTATATAATCTTATTTATTTTTAAGATCTTATTTTTATTTACCATGCGCTAAGCCTGATGAAAAATGTTGTGGGAATCGGTCATGATTGGATTGGAAGCCTCTTCCAGAACTCCTTTCTATGTACATGTGTATGTATGTCCTAGGGCAGATCCTATTCCTCCCGATCCAATCCGATCGTGACTAATAAGCTAATGAGGTCCGAGGGGGATTGGCCTTGATCGGCAATCGAATAAGTGTAGGATCTCGTTCGCCTGGATACAAAGTATCCGTATCTCGCAGATACGCACGCCACTTGTCGAGCACCCGGCATGCAAATCGGGGTATCTGTGATATGATCGACGGCACTGAGAGAAATTCCCTCTGGCTTAAGGCTATCATTTTTGCGGAGAATTCCGAAGATTTCTACGTTTCTCAAGGTGCATCGATTGAGTGCATTTATCTATGTGCTCGCCAAGCTACCAAGCTACTCCTGTCCAGCTCCCCTGTCTGGCTGCCACTCGATAATGTATCTGCCATGATATATGGACAGCTAATCTATCATGGCCCAAGCAAGGTTTCCATTTTATGGGTCAATTTGCGGACATGTTTCTCCATCTGTGAGTGTGCGCTTATTTGTATCTGTATCTGTGTATCGCAGTATCTGTATCTGGTGTGCAACAGGTAGTCAAGTGCCTCTGCCTGTTCCTCTGAATGTTTTTTTTTTTTGCCACGATCGGAGCAAATCCGCGTGCCTGAGCAGACCCAGAACCGTCAGAGCAACGCATAGTAGTTCCAAGATTCGATCCCAATCCAAATCGGATTAGACGCAGAGTGAAACAATTAATTTTCTTGAGAGAATCCTTCAATAATCCTCTTTCTTTGTGTATTTTTGGAATAATATAAAGCGATACTTGCAGATTTAAAATTTTGTTTTGAAACTCTCCTCCCTCGGAGGCTAAAAAGAGCTAAGTAGCCGATGTGCCATCACTGATCTGGGGCTCCACTGCTGGCTCAGAGGCAGAATCACGGCCACGGTCCCCCCGCCTCACGTCTCGCGCTCCACGGTGCCGGTGGGGCTGAAGTCGCTGCGCTGCTGCCGCTCTGCCACTCAATTGCTCTGCCGCTGTCGCTGGCTGGCGCTCAGTTTGATTTTGGCGCTGGGACGTGAAAGTCGCAGTCGCAGTCGTTGTCGCAGTCGCAGACGTAGTCGTAGTCGTAGTCCAAGCCGTAGTCGGCCGGAAAAAGCGAAGGGAAAATCCAGCGATCTGGGACCTTTGCAGGTGCAACGGTTTTTTGAAAACTTATTTGTGTTTTTTTTTTTTTGGAGTGCGCCTCCAGTGAAAAAACCATTAGTGAAAACGAATTTCGGGCTGAATCAGTGGGACAGGCGTCTCTTAAGATCAGTTTCTGTGCTCGAAGGTGTTGCGGAAACAGAAGAAACATCAAAATAATGCAGTTCCTGTGATCGGGCCAGTAATCAAGAAATATTACCAAAATAAAGGACAGCCAACGAGGCAACTACTATCACAGGACAGGAAGAGGTGAGTAATGCCATTATAGATGAATTACTCAGATGGGGTATTAAGATAATATAGTACACTATATAACAAGTGATCGGTTAGTATTATTATCCAGTACAGTCAGAGACCCATTAAAATGGGTAATACTATGTGTCCAGACTTTGGATTCGAAACCCCCATTGTATCTAGTCTTCTGTCTCTGGTCTCTGGCGCAAGACTTTCGAAGATCCATCTTCGACTATTGAGCGGTTTTTGGATTTTTCCATCCCAGATTCAGCGAACCTGTTGACCGCACTGGCAAAAAATCGGAGAAGGCCCACTCAACACTGAACAGCCAACACTCAAGCCTCAAGAAACACAAAAAAAGTATAAAAAAGAATATGAAAAAAGTAAGAAAAATACTCTGTCCAGACTCTAAAGAAATACGCGAATATGCGAATCGGGCTTCGAGCACTTTCCTCTTGCTGGCTCACATTTATGCTTTATTTTGTTGTAACTTTTTGTTCGTAAACTCGTAAAGCTCGTAAAGCCCATAAAGTGCACTAAAGACGGCGGATACTTGACCTATCCGAACCGAGCCTCTGGGGGTACGACTATGGGCTTGACTCGGGCAACTTGACCGAGTTGTTTCCATTTGAGTTTATGGCTCGGGCTGGGCTGGGCAGTTGCACTTGGCCCACAAATGCCTGCCACAGTTGCCTGCCACAAAGTGCGGTTTTCAGAGGATCCATTATCGCCGCGGTTGAAATCTAATTTTTGCCAGACGATTCGGCTTTGTCTTGGCAGCGATTTTGGCATTAGTTTGTGCCATTTTCTCTTGTGTTCCGGCCAGGTCGGATCGGATCGGATCGGGTCGGGTCGAGAGGGAATCGAATCGAAAGGCACTCGCTCGTCCGCAATTAAGGCCAAGTGCGCCGAAAATATGATTTCGCACTGGAGGCACTGGAAGAAAAAACTAAGAGTTGCCCAAAAATGGCAGAAACTTGTCAGAGGCCAGTGAGAAGAAGCGAAAGAACAGAGAAAAGAGGCCACCTTGGAGTGCGGAGACTGCAGTGGAAGTGGAAGTGGACCAGGCCGAGATTCACTTTTTATTATTTTTTCGCCAGAGTTTCCTCAGCGCTCCTCCGAGGGCGGGAGGCTCCGAGGAGCTGTGGAAATCCGGTCCTGCCTCATACAGGTTGCACAGATTTATGATCACTTTTGATGCCGCTACGGAGGTGGCACTCAAGTGAAAGAGGACAAGGTGGCTCTCCATTTGAGTGACTGGGACACTGGTGGCGAGTGGACTGGGACACTGCGAGAAATGCTCTGTTGCTTTACTAACTATGTTTAATCAGAACAGTTTTTCAATTGATTTTAATGGCAATTAATAACCCTCAAAGTTCAGTCTCTTAACTCGCATTAGTTGACATTTAATAGGAAGAATACCCAGTCTAGGAGGTACTATGTGGTCTACAGAACTCTCTAGAGCTCTGTAGTTTATAGAACTTATAGAACTGTACACCAATTAGTTGGAGCAAAGTGGCTGCTACTGGACTTCTGCCTACATGACTTGAGGAACTCTCAACCTAACCACTTCCGTTACTTCGAGGGGCAGCTGCTCTTCAGATCCACCACCACCCACCCATGCCACATGCCCAATCATTGAGTGGTTTGTTTGCCTTCTTATCGCATCTAATTACCGGCGCGGCCAGAGATTTTCTCACCATTCATTGGCGATTCGTGTTTTTGCATTTTTGCATTTATTTTCCCCTCCAAAGTACAAGTCTTCTCCGCACCATATATGTTTTAATTTCGAGCCGGGGAGAGATAACAATTACGGGGCAAGATAAATCCCTAATAAGTTGCATGGCTAGGAGCATTTTTAATTTCTGTTGTTACGGTTAATGGGGAATAACTATTCATGAGACTTAAACGGGCTCGGCTGGGGCCTAGGCGAAGTGAATGGGCCAGAGGGGCTCCTCTGGCTTCACAGATCTCTGGCTTTCCAAGCAACGAATCAGAAACACCCACAGTCGGATCCAAACAATCGAAAATCGAAACCATCCATGCGGGCTCAAATCAAATTTGTAGTCCACTTTTGTTGGCCAAAAACAAAACACAAAAAAAAAGAAGGTAAAACAAACAATACTGAAATAGCAACCGAAAGAATGGCATTTGGAGTCCCTCTCTATATATAGCCAGAAGCCATAGGCCGAATACCCAATTGACCTTAAATTATTGCCATTGTCTGCCCGACTGGCCGTGGCGTTGGCGTTTCAAAATGTTTCAAAATTCTCTATGATTTTGGCTAAATGGTCTGGGCCAGCATATTTGGCTTTTGCCCACATTTGGCGGGCCATGCAAATCGGGTTTTATCTCTTTGGTATTTTCGTGTGTGTGCTTCATTTTTTCGGTCAATTAACCTGCGATATCCGGGCAATTACGAATGCAGAGCAGGCCAGAGCCAGAGCCAGAGCCACAGCCAGCGACATGCCACATGCCACATGCCGAATGCCGCATGCAAGCTTTCACTGGCCACTGGTCCGGCCAAGTTAACTGGCCACCTGAGATAGGATCCGAGTTCCACTAGAAACAGGAAACTTTCCCACGTACCAGGTGTACCCTTGCGGGTCTAGGCCCGATCTTAGCATTTGGCTTGAAAACCGAAGAAAAGTGGCCTAAATCAAGTAGCAATAGAGGTGACAATGAACCCCGAACCGAACTGCCTCCCAAGAGAAGCATATGCCGCCTCCCACCAGACTCCAGACTCTCTCATCTGAGTCAGCGTCTTGTCTTGCCCCGAAACGCGGCAAGAAGATACACAAATTTCGCAGCCATCAATAGATGTGGCATTTGTCTCCCCGGGGGGGAGTCCGAAAAGCCGAGTCAGCACAAGCTGGCAACTGGCGTCTGAAAAGTGCCGGGGGCCTTAGATCTCATGGCGAATTCGATGGGAATGGAACCTGAGATCCCAACCATAGCTCCAATCCGATCCGTTCCGATTCTGGGAGAGGGGAAACCTGCCAGGCTGCACCTTTCACTCACGACCGCCGCTGCACTGCGAGAAATGAAAACAAACAATTGGCTTTGTTTAGATCCTTTCAACGCAGCACTGGGTTCTGGTTTCGTCTTTCGATAGAAATCTGTTTGAATTAGAGGGATCGGCTGGGGGAGTGGGGGCTGGGCTTAGGCTCGATGGAGGCCGGGGAGTGCCGGGAAGCGAACAATGCCTAGAACCGGGCTCCCACGATCTCCCACGAGTTAAAAGTTGACTCAACCGGGGCATACACACATCCAATAAATATGCCAGGTTACGTGATTGGAGCTGCTTTGAGCTGGCTCCACGATTTCCTATTCGTAAGCACGGCTCAAGGTCATTCTCCAGAGCCCCTCCCCAAAGTCCAACAAAGCTACCAAAGCCTTTTATTTTCGGCCTTTGGGGCTCGCCTTTGGGTTTTGGGGGTTAGGGATCGGGGTTAGAGGCCCCCTGCCTCCGTCCATCTATACTATACGCCATGTAAGATCTATAGAGCCCAGGTATCGTAATCGTCTTCGTAACAGATGTGACGTCAGAGCCAAATGCATCGCTGCCCCATGACCTGTTGCAATAATCGAAAGTGAACGAAAAATCCAACAAATACAAAGATAATTTCAAAATCGAAGAGCCACAGAAACCGAAACAGAAACAGAAAAATAAATATAAAAACCTGAAATGCATATCGGTCTCACATGGATTGCGTCTGAAGGAAAGTTTGAAGAAAAAGACTGCAGCTACGAAATTTAATAATAGACTGTGAATAACAGAAGAGTTTACCTTTCGTCACGGCTCCACAGTTTTGGCTTAATACTTTCGTAACTGCCAATACTGGGCAGTACTATCTATAGAGTATTATAGAGCTATATAGTGCTGCCCGTACCCCCATACCCCCCCAAAGATCCGTTCGCAATTATCTCTGGATTGCTCAGCAGCCGCTGGCTTGTCTAAAATGAATTCAATTAAAAACTCACAATCGACAATAAATAACCCCAGTTTCAGTTTCGGTTTCAGTTTCGGTTCGGCGGCATTTTCTCTCCTCGGAGTCAGGCACTCGGACTTTAAGGCACTCGATCGAATGCAAAAAGCCACAAAAAGTCAGTCAAAAGCCAGGCAAAACAAGGCAAATACGAGTACTTGGCGGAAAGTAAACAAAACAAAGCCAAGATAGGCGAATCGGTGACTCGAACGCTTAGGAACAGTGCTTTCGGAACAGGCTAAAAATGGGTATTATAGATCTTTGGTCTATAAGGGCAAGGACTATCTATGTTATGAGAGAAACCAAATCTTATCAATACTGGAGAGCATTGCTCGGTAATACAACATAGACTTCTCGAGAACTATCTCATCAGTCTAGGTACCTAGTCTAGGAGGCTGGTCATCCACCCCCATTGAATCCAATCTTTGGCCCAGTGTGCCTGGCAAACCCAGTACTGAGATGTGTATTTGTGTTTTCTGAGCCAAGGTAGTTAGCACTCGGTATGCATAAAATGGCCAACTGCGAACTGGCTAACAGCCCGACTGGGCTAACTGGCGAGCGTGGGAAAAAGCATTGGCTAAGCTCAGCTTCGACCAGTTTTGCGTTTTGTTTGTGGAACTTAGTTCCTGCAACGCATATTACTCATAAGCCGCGTGGCGCACTTTTTTGGCCACACTTTGGGGTCAAGATACCCGACCCAATCGATGCGGATCTGCGGATCGGCGGCTCAGCGGCTCAGCGGCTCTAAAGACTTTCATTCATAGAAACTTTCAACAAGCCAGAAAAAAATCTGACAGAAAACAACACATTCCCAAAAGTGACCATCAAGAATTGGCTGGCAAAACTGGTTTTTTCGGTGAATTCGGCTTTCAGTTTTCGGTTTTTAGTTTTCGGTTTACGGGTTTCAGCCATATTTCTCCGCACCCTGGCAGAATACATTTTTTTTTTTCGCATATACATTTCGCAGATACATTTCGCAGACAATCTAACAGCTGGCTGTCGAGGGGGGGCGCCTCCACCGAGGGGGTTTCGCAATCAGAAGTAAATAAATTACATTGGCAGGTAAGCGACTATGTCGTCTTTGTCCGCTCCGGCTGATTGCTGTTGGAAATTGTCGCCGTTGGAAATTGGCGGCTTTGTTTGTGTCTAAGATTTCCAGTTGCAGCACTGGAGCGTTGCAGCAGGGCCTCCCCTCGCCCCTTCCTACGTAAATTGTTGGCCATTTAACAAGCCAATAGACACAAAGCCGCGACACACAATGGTCACACACGTCGCGTAGATACAAAGATACGAGCCGCCAGCCAGATACGTGGATACACTGGGGCTGTATCTTCTTGAGAAGTGGCTGGTTTCTATTCCTATTTGTTTGGCCAATAGGCTAACTCATTTGTTCTATGATGTATCAGGCTGAAAATGGTCGCAGCTCTTGCCCTTCTGACATCTGTTTCTTGCAGTGTACTCGGCCACATAACCGGTCGGCGACGAGCTTTAATGGTTTGATTGACAGTTATCTAACCGTTCCGAGTTAATACAAGTGCTTAACGGTCAGCCCCGTGGAGGTACGACACTTGCAACAGTGCGATCGGAGTGCGGAAAGTGCAGGAGCACTAATCTGCAACTGATAACTGGGGCAGTTCCCGGGGATGGGGCAGCTGGACTGGTTCTTGGATGGTGAAACTGAGGAAAAAGCTGGCAGAGATCTGAGAAGATTCCGGGAATAAGGAAGTTGCGATTCGAGTTAGAGGAGTCATTCCTTGTGGCAAACCCAGCCCTCATCTCAGACTTTAGTGGCTTCTGTGGCAAGTCTAACCCTCTGCAGCCCAGAGACTCCGGTTACTTGACATCTTGACCTTGACCTTAGCCCCGATTTGGTGTCTCTGGCACTTTGAGGGCCAAGAACTTGAACCAGAAGAGGACAAGGCACGAGGGGGAGGAGAGTCACCAAACCTGTTGGCCAAGAACATTTCGTTGGCCAAGTTTCAAGTGGCCTGCTATCGCCCGGATCACTCGGAGCACTTGGATCGGTGGACAGATGGAAATTCTTGGACAAAAACAAAGAAATATGGGTCATGCGACACGAAACGAGAAAGTGCCAGCATTAGACCGTTAGAAGCCAGTTCGAGATGAATGCCACCAACTCTCTGGGGAACTGTGGGCTTGGCTCGAAGATCCAACTGGAAGAGGCCGGCTCGGAGCAGTCTTTCTTCTTTATAATTTTCTCTATCGCCTGGCGATTTCTTGCCCATTTCCTCAGCCATTTCTTGGCGGTTTTTTAGCCATTTCTAATCTAGTGGACCACCAGAAAGCCCCCAAACCGAGTATCTGCTAGCAAGTATCGTGCCAGAGTGTAATGATGCCACAAAATGGCCCCAGAGAATGTGGAAAAGTACCTGCGGAGCCACGTCGTTTGCCACATGGAGGCGGGCTAGAAAGATCTGGAGAGGAAGTCGGGAAAGGGATTGGGAAGCGCTGGGGCTGGGGCTGACGGCTAATAGATCGGCTTAGACCCCCCATAACCGGAATCAAGCGGGGCTTTATTTGGCCAACATTAATCGGCTCTTTCACCTTCTGGCTCATTAATTGGCTTGCATGTCCGAAACAGCCAAGCCAGGTCAGCCAAGGCAAGGTCAGAGTTTGCTTTTTTCATTTGATTTAAGACTTAAGACTTGAGTTTGTAGAACCTCAGAGACTTCCGACATGAAAATAGATTATACTGATTGATACCATTATGTCCTATTTTCCAGATCCCTCGGATGTCGGCCGCTACCCACATGGCTCTGCCAGCCCACGCCGTGGACCCTCCGCCCGGCACTCCACCGGTAGTCTCCAACGCTGGATCAGCCTCCTCCAGCCTAAGTCTGCCGGCGGGCAGGCGCGGCCACAAGCGCAGCGTCTCCCTGGAGAACAACGCCCCGCTCGCACTGCGAAGCACCCCCAACCTGGGCCAGTCGACGCTAGGGTCCCCCCTGCTCCACTTCAGCCAGGGGAATCCCGGGCAGGGGCAACCCTTCCACACGGGCACCCTCAAGTCGCGTCAGGAGCAGCGTCGCCTCAGCCAGAAGTTCGGCAGCCACAACAACTTGGACGACGAGGGCGTGGGCGGGAGCGGGGGTGTGGGCATGCAGATGCGAAGCAAGTTCCAGAATATCCGGCAAATGTTTGAGCTGAGCCGCAGCTGCGTGGTCGGAGGGAGTGGCGGCGGGAGTGGCAGTGGCGCAGCGAGCAGCGGCCCAGCCGCCGAGGAGGAGGGGCTCCAATCTCTGCCAGCAATGCTCTCCCAGCAGCAACAGCCGCTGCGTCGGACCACGCCTATTGCCGGCGGAAGTCGCCACCACCAGGGTGAGGCGGAACAGGTGAGGCTGCACCGGAAGAAACGGCATTTGCTAAATGATATATTTCCAACTAAATCTTAAGCTGAATAGTTGCAAATCGAGGTGAGCACTTTTTACTAAACTAATATTTATTTTCCAGAATGGAAACTTTCTGCGGCCAATCGCCTTCAAGCCGATTCCGTTCGAGCCGGACTACCGCATCGCCTGCCAGCAGCAACAACAGCAACTGCAGCAGCAGCACCAGCAACAGTTGCCACCGCAGGTGGCCGGACAAGTAGGGGAGCGGTACGGCTATGGATCGACTCCCTCGCTAGCCCCACTGCCTGCCGTTAGCCAAAAGTTTGGCAGTAAGTAGCACTAACTTTCTTAAAGGTCTCCTTGTGCACTCCAGGATCCCCCACATAGCCTTAAACCATGTCCCCCATAGGGCCTCCGTACGATGTTTATATCGTGGCCAATTTTCATCAGATTCAAAAGAAGAATACCTTAAAAGACTCGTAGTTCCATTCTCTATAATTCTGCATCAAAATCCTAGCATCCAATTTCTGATCCATATTTTTCAAATTTTTCTGATGGGACCCCTTGTAAAATCCAGGATCCCCCATAGGGCTCACTTCAATGTCCATATCTTGGCCAATTTTCATCCGATTCTCAAAAGGGATACTTAAGAAGACACGTAGTTCCATTCTCCACAATTCTGCATCAAAATCCTAGCATCCAATTTTTATACCCTTGCAGAGGGTATTATAATTTTGGTCAAAAGTGTGCAACGCAGTGAAGGAGACATCTCCGACCCTATAAAGTATATATATTCTTGATCAGGATCACCTCCTGAGTTGATATGAGCATGTCCGTCTGTCCGTCTGTCCGTCTGTCCGTCTGTCCGTCTGTCTGTCTGTTTCTACGCGAACTAGTCTCTCAGTTTTAAAGCTATCGACTTGAAACTTTGCACACACCCTTCTTTCCTTTGCACGCAGTATATAAGTCGGAACGGCCCGGATCGGCCGACTATATCCTATAGCTGCCATATAACTGATTGATCGGAAATGGTATAACTTCGGTGTTTTTAGAGTTAGAGAGTTCAAATTTTACACGAGCGCTATTTTTGGCAAAATAATACGACATGCCAAATTTCGTAAGGATCGGCCGACTATATCCTATAGCTGTCATATAACTGAACGATCGGAAATGACCCAACTTTCGTGTTTTTAAAGATAGAAAGCTGGAACTTGGTACAGATTATATTCTTGGTCAGTTAATCCGATCTACCAAATTTCATAACGATCGGTCGACTATATCTTATAGCTGCCATATAACTGAACGATCGGAAATGGTTTTTGGTAGAAATATCAACTTTCGTATTTTTGAAGATAGAAGTTTGGGACTTTTTTTAGATTTTGTATTGTAATAAATTGGATTATATATTCCTATTCCCATAAGGATCGGCCAACTATATCCGATGTTTGCGATATATATCCGGTTTTAACTGCAAGGGTATATAAACTTCGGCTCCGCCCGAAGTTAGCTTTTCTTTCTTGTTGATCCATATTTTTCAAATTTTTCTGATGGGACCCCTTGTAAAATCCAGGATCCCCCATAGGGCTCACTTCAATGTCCATATCTTGGCCAATTTTCATCCGATTCTCAAAAGGGATACTTAAGAAGACTCGTAGTTCCATTCTCCACAATTCTGCATCAAAATCCTAGCATCCAATTTTTGATCAATATTTTTTAAATTTTTCTGATGGGACCCCTTGTAAAATCCAGGATCCCCCATAGGGCTCACTTTAATGTCCATATCTTGGCCAATTTTCATCCGATTCTCAAAAGGGATACTTAAGAAGACTCGTAGTTCCATTCTCCACAATTCTGCATCAAAATCCTAGCATCCAATTTTTGATCCATATTTTTCAAATTTTTTTGATGGGACCCCTTGTAAAATCCAGGATCCCCCATAGGGCTCACTTCAATGTCCATATCTTGGCCAATTTTCATCCGATTCTCAAAAGGGATACTTAAGAAGACTCGTAGTTCCATTCTCCACAATTCTGCATCAAAATCCTAGCATCCAATTTTTGATCAATATTTTTTAAATTTTTCTGATGGGACCCCTTGTAAAATCCAGGATCCCCCATAGGGCTCACTACAATGTCCATATCTTGGCCAATTTTCATCCGATTCTCAAAAGGGATACCTTAAAAGACTCGTAGTTCCATTCTCCATAATTCTGCATCAAAATCCTAGCATCCAATTTTTGATCCATATTTTTCAAATTTTTCTGATGGGACCCCTTGTAAAATCCAGGATCCCCCATAGGGCTCACCACAATGTCCATATCTGGGCCAATTTTTATCCGATTCTCAAAAGGGATACCTTAGAAGACTCGTAGTTCCATTCTCCATAATTCTGCATCAAAATCCTAGCATCCAATTTTTTATCCATATTTTTCAAATTTTTCCCATGGGACCCCTTGTAAAATCCAGGATCCCCCATAGGGCCTCACTATTATGTTTATATCTTGGCCAATTTTCATCGGATTCTCAAAAGGGATACCTTAAAAGACTCGTAGTTCCATTCTCCATAATTCTGCATCAAAATCCTAGCATCCAATTTTTGATCCATATTTTTCAAATTTTTCTGATGGGACCCCTTGTAAAATCCAGGATCCCCCATAGGGCTCACTACAATGTCCATATCTTGGCCAATTTTCATCCGATTCTCAAAAGGGATACCTTAGAAGACTCGTTCCATTCCCCACAAATCTGCATCAAATCGCTACCACAAGTTTTAGGAATAAATTCTAGTACATCTTAGTAGTAGCTTTAATGCGTCATTTGGTATACAATTTTAACCTGTGGACCCATTCCATACCCAGGTACTACCGATCTACGTCATCTTGCTGCCCGACGACGTAATCACCGCATCCTGCAACGCTCCAGCAACGAAGATGCCTTGACCCTTGACCTCTTGGGAAGTGGAAGCCATGACAGACCCGATGGGGCGAGCAGGTGGGTTTCCGGTTTCCTCCTTCTGCCTCACATTCTAAGTGGAGTTAAAAATTTGCAGCAAAAACAGCGGCACAGTAGTGGCCAGCAGTGATCTGACGCCGTCGCCCTCGGACTCCGGGATCTCGGAGCTGGAGGCGGCGCTCAAGGACCGTGACTCGGACCTCTCCTATCTGCGTCAGGCCGTGGAGCACAATACAAAGGTAAGAAAATGTCCCCAGAATCTCTTTCTAGTAGGTAATAATTTTCTCTTTCTGTGTTTAGGACAAGGAAGTTAACTGGGAGCAGGACAACCAGCGCCTGAGGCTCTTCTACGAAGGACAGCAGCGGGAGAGCCAGCTGAAGCTGCGCAAGATGGAGCAGCTCCTCGGGCTGCAGCAGTTCCAGCTGAAGCAGCACAAGCTGCGCCAGTCGGAGCACGTCGGCCGGCTGCAGCAGCAACTGGATCACTCCCACTGCACCTCGCAGCAGCTGCAGCAGCAGCTGGAGAGCCTCAGGACGCAGCTAGAGGACAGCGAGTGGCGGGTGTGCGAGCGCAACGGGGAGATAGCACTGCTAAAGACACAGCTCAAGGAGGCACACGTAAGGATAAAGGATAGCTGAGAGTACAAGGCTAAATAGCAATAACTAACTCTCTTTCAGCTGGAAATCAATGCCAAGGACCATGCGATTGTCAGCCTGAAGCACAACAGGATCAGTGGTAACAGCAACTCTGACCCAACCACAAGCCAAAGTCAACCAAAGCAACAGGCCTCGGAGGAGCAGAGGCAGCAGCAGCTCAAATCCTCTATTGACACGCAGCAACTGCAGAAGATAATCGCCCTCAAGGATCAGGTGATCGGGGCTCTCACCAGCGAGCTGGCGAAGCTGCGGAAGGAACTCTCAGATCTGGCCATTGCCCACGAATACGGCGAGGAGCCCTGCGGGCGCTACACACGGCTGAAGCAGCAGCTCGACAATCTCAACGAGATCTGCCAGAAGACACGCAGCTGCACCTCCTCGTCCCCAGCACCTGCACCCCAGGAGCTGCCCAAGCTGGATGCCCTGGTGCAGGGCCTGCAGATCGACCCGGAGCAGGGGGGAAAGTCCCATCAGCCGCTGCAGCCTCCACAGCAGACGCTGGACACGCTGATCGAGGAGTCCACCACGTATGCGGAGGACATTGCCAAGCTGCGCCAGAAGCTGGACGACTTCCGGCTGAACCTCGAGCTGGAGAAGCGTCAGTGGAGCGCCGAGAAGGACAAGGTGCTGGGCTACCAGAAGCAGCTGCAGGCTCACTACATCCACATGTACCAGAAGCTGCGCTGCCTGGACTCCCAGGTAGAGGCCGGAGCTCCAAAAGAGGATGGCAAGGGCGGAGGCCAAAGGCCGAAGGCTGCCAACGGGCACTAGAGAGAGAAGCATCAAGTCCTTGCTCCAAAAAGATACAAAATCTATATCGACTTTTACCACTCCAGGACTTGCAGTGGCTCTCTAATATTTTTTTGACAATTACGCATATTTAATTTTTGTTTTTATTATTTTACAAATATATATGTATATGTATACGTTTAATTTATTAAATGTAATTACACAGAAGACGAATTTGTGATTCTGCATACGTGGAGTAGTCGTATGTGTGTTGAATATAATATTTATAAGGAGCTGCTCGCCACTCCCCACATAATGTATATGCAATAAAATGAAAATAAAAATAAAAATTAAAATATAAAGAAAAGTAAACATAAAATAATAATGTAATAATGTAATAACAAGTACTTCGTTTTATTGATGACAGTTAAGGATAATGTGCAGGATCAATAAATGGTAAATGACTCAACTGGGCTCTAAGCATATTTTAATTCGTAGTAAAAAAAATAAAAAAAAAAGGACACTAAATACAATCTTTACGCAGTTACAGTTAGTTCGTATAATTAATGCCAAATGCCTGTCCTGGATTCAGCAGATTGTCAAGGGCAGGATCACTAAGTATAGACACACCACAGTGGATCGATTTGGAGGGAACTATCTTGGAAGATTGGAGTCAAATATTAAAACATTGTATCCTTTCTTTGGCTTGTTTGGAGAAACAAGGGCAAATACGTTCATTTTTAGAGCAAAGGACCCTCGACATAAATGAAGTATTTCCTGCTTCCTTCGTGTTTCAAAAGAGTTGAATAAACAATCCAATAGATTCATTTTTCAGGTTCGTTTTCAAAAATGAATTATTCAGCGTTTATCCTTTTTCCCAAAGCGTTCGTTTCGGGTCTGAATGAAGACTATATATTGCTTTTGATTTTAAAGGACGTGATTTCAGTAAGGACAAGTGCCATATATGGCATGCATATAGCTCCCCAAATCGATCCACTTCATACACACACATTCGCACTTAACTACAGCAAGGACACGGCTGGCTTGCAGGTCCTAGGCGCACTCCTCCACGTACGTGGCCGGGAAGATCCCGATGTGGTTGCGCAGCGCACCCAGCCACCAGCCGTCGTCCTGCTTGGCGTGCACCTCGATGATGTCGCCAGGACTCAGTTCCAGCTCGTCGTAGAGTTTCGGGGTGTAGCTATAGAGGGCTTTGCAGCGCCCAAGGACAGGACCGTTGCCATCCGGCTGCGGGCTCTTCTGCAGGTCCTGGGCGTTCTGGTAGAAGTGCTGCTGCTGTGTCTGATGTGGCGGCTTGGCAGGCTGTGGCAGCGGCAGCTTCTCCAGGCAGTCATCCTCGTCCTGCGAGCTAAACTCATCAAAGTCCGAGTCCTGCTGGTTGGAGCCGCCGTCCGCCTGGCCGCGATCGCTGCCCCCCAGGTGGTGGTGGTTATCCTGCTGGTTCGACAGGGTCTTGGACTTTACGGAAGACGCCACGGCGGCATTCGTCGTCGAGATTATTTTTGGCTGGCTAGTGAAGTTTGTCTCAATGTTGCTCTTGCTCCGGCTGAACTGCTTCACCACGGAGCTGATGTCCGTGCAGGACCCGTTGCTGGTGCTGTTGCTGTGCAGGTGGGAGCAGTTGTCCTCCGGCAACTGGTGGTCCTCATCGGCGCTTATATCAGTGACGTCATGGGCCAGGAATCCGGCAGAGTGCTGCTGCTGCGACTTGTCGTTGTTCTTCAGCCAGTTGGGCACCTTCAGGATGCTCTGTTGCAGGCCAGTCCGGTCTCGGGTGATCTGAATGTGCTGGGCCAACGGATGGGTGGTCCTGGGCTTGTGATCCAGTTCCAGGAGGGCAGAGTGCAGCTTAAGGCGAGCCCCCTCCAGATATGTAAGCATGGATCGGATCTGTCATGGGAGTGTATAGAGTACAATTGGAAGGGTGACGAAACACTAGAAACTCACGTGGTACAGCTTGTCGGTGATGTTCTGGTGCTCCTGGTTGTTCAGCGACTGCGAGAGGCCTCTCAGACCGTCCCTGGAGCGGCGCTCCCGCTCCAGATCCGTCTTGACTAGCTGGAGGAGCTTGATGAGGGCGTGCTTGCGGCGCTCCCGGTTCATGGCCAGCGTGGTGTGCTCGCAGTAGAAGTCCGGCAGGAGCTGCTCGCTGGGACCCTCCGAGTTGCGGCGGATGTTGCGCACCACCTGCATGTCCTTGGCCACGTTGCAGGCCTCTAGCTGAGGCTGCAGTCGAGCGCTGAGCCCGCCGAGGATCGGGTTCATGTCGGCGATGAGGCGGGCGTACTGCTGGGCGAAGTTGTGCATGTTTCCCAGGCGCTGCTGTTCGCTGCTCTGCAGCTGGGCAGATCCTCGCAGGACGGCCATCTCCCAGTCGACGCGGGCGCGCTCCGCCCGGACGCACAGGGTGTAGTATTCCACATCCGCCCGCTTCACAGCCTCCTCGGCCTTCTTGCGCTTGTTGTCCAGCTTCACGCAGTCCTTCTCGGCGGACTTGAGCTCCTTCTCCGCAGCCTGTTTGTTGGGTCCTTGGTGCAGGAGAGCTATGGAAGGCGACTTCTGGATGCGCACGTCTAGCATCGCGTCCTGCAGCTTCTCGTTCTCCCGGGCGGCCGTGTGGGAGGCCTTCTTCGCCTTTGCCTCGCTGGCCCGCCACTCGCCCAGGACGCGAGCGGCTTTGTCGACGTTGCTCTCCACCTGGACGGTAGATTCGTTAGGATCGGGTCGAAATAGATGGAAAAGGAGAACTCACCGCCTTGCGGGCCTTGTGATGCCCCTCCACCACGCTCTTCAGCGGCTTCACCAGTTCGTCCGTCAGGGAGGCGGCCAGCTGCCGGTGGATGTCGCTGCGGCTCTCCATCTCAGTGGCCACACCCCGCCAGGCGTCTGCCACGCTTCCGGGGATCTCCCGTCCAGCCTTGTTCAGTTTGTTCGCCAGCTTGGACAGGGACTTTGAGTAGATCAGCTCCGAGTCGGCTCTGCAGAATTGGACCAGAATTACGCTATGAAGTCTGTTCCAGAAAGAAAACCTACCTTTCCTGGAGGACGAAGATGAGCTCCTTGCTGAAGTCACCACCCTGCTTGACGTATCGCCGCAGTTCCTCGAAGCCATTCTGTCCCTGTGGAAGGAAAGATGGGAATTTTAGAAAAAAGGTAGTTCCGAGGAGATTATCCTGCCCGCTATCCTTCGCCGTCCCAGACCAACTCCTGTACCTCATCCTTGAACCGCTTGGCGTGCGGCGACAGGTCCTCCTCGCTGTTCCGCTGCGACATGGACGACTCCATTTCAGTGCGTTCCGTTACATCCTCGCAGCTTTCGGTGACATCTCGGCGACTCCGCTCCGGCGACATCGACTGCCGGCCGGGCTCGGGCGCAGACTGGTTAAGGTTACTCCGGGACTGGGCCAGCCGCTTCAGCGGCGTCTGTTGCCGCACCGCCTCCTTGATCTTGGAGCTCTCCTCGCCCAGCCAGTGCTTCATGCCGTGCCAGCCCTTCCGAAGCTTCTCCTTGTTGTGGCTGAAGTTGATCAGCGTCTGGTTCTTGTTCTTCAGCAGGGTGATCCTCCGCTCGTTGGGGCGCAGCTGGTCCCGGTGGGTGCAGTACTCCAAGTCGATCTCCCGGTTGAAGTCCTCCGTCTCATTAATCTGCCGCGTCAGCTCTTGCAGCTCGTCGATCGAGACGAACAGGTTCTGCGCGTTAAGGCTCTGGTAGCTGACGGACTTCAGGTCGAAGTCGAACTCGTCCTGGCTGCTGCTGGCCAGGCTGTGGCGGGAGCTCTGCCGGGAGCTGCGTTGGGAGTTCACCTTCGAGTTCAACTGGAACGAGTCTAGGCTCTTGAAGTGCGGCTGCTGCGCCAGGAATCCGCCGTTCGGAATCGGCGATCTCTCAAAGGTGGCCTGCCCTGCCGGCTGGTTCTCCTTGTTGTCGCTCGCCGCCAGGCTGAGTTCACTGGTTCCATATAGCTCCGGCAGCTCGGGCAGATTCAGGTCCGGGCCCAGGTGCGCCGGAGCAGTGACGTTCATGTTGAGGGCCATGGAGTTGGACTTGTGCAGGTAGACCTTGAGCTCGGTGCGGTGCAGGTTCTGGACGGATTGCGACTGCATATGCTGCCGGGCGATGCGGGGCTTCCTCACGGGCGGCTCCACGGGCACAGGGGACACGGGCGGAGTCTGGCAAGGAGATGGCAGTAGCTCTTTTGGCTCTTCCGCCTGGTGCGTGGGCGTCTCGAAGTGCTCCTGTTCTTCTGGTTCTGGTTCTGGCTCGGTTTTCTTTTGTTCCTCCTCGTGCACGGACTCACCGTGCTCCTCCTCCTTCATCATATCCTGGGGCGTGCTCCTGGCGTCCACGAACTCGTCCTCATCCGAGCTGCGTGGCGTCAGGGTCCTTACCACACTGGAGGTCTGGGCTATTCCGCCCCCGATCTGCTTAAGTCTCGCCTCGGTGACATCAAAGCGGTCTGTGTCCAGTGTGGTGGTGGATATCAGGACGGGGGCCCCGATCTCGAGGCGATGGTCCTCCGAGTGGCTTCCCGTCATGTTGTAGCTTCCGGTATGGGGCTTGCCGGCTTGCAACTCCCCGCCGCCAGCGTTGCCGCCACTGTTGAGGTTCATGCTGCCGAGGTGTCGGCGTCCCAGCTTGTTCCCCAGCACCGAGTACCGTTTTATGCGGCCCAGAAATCCTTTGGGCCCATTGTTGTTGTTGTTGCAGTTGTTGTTGTTGTTGTGGGCAGTGTCTGGCTGCGGAAGATCGGCCATGGCGGCGCTATCTTTGCCGCCCAGCTTAAACTTGTGCACCCGCAGGTGGTTCATTGTCGGCTGTTAGATTAATTGTGACGTCAACATTACATTACAATTTATTGACTTTCGAGTTAGTGTGTGTGTGTGTGATGCCTCTTGGAGACTAGCCAAGACAACAACCAATGCAGCATAAGAAGAGCACAAAACATGAACCGCTATTCTTGGGGGTGTGGTGAATTGGGGAGCTCTATTGGAAGCAGCCTGAGAGGCTGTTCCTGCTCTTCCTCTTTCAGTGCACCAACAAGACGCATACTAGTGAGTGTGTTAGAAATTTTATTGGAAAATAGTGAGAGCTATTAAGGATGGACGTTTCTAGGTAAGTCGTATTTTCCCGCACATAGTATGTATGTACATACATGCTCCGAGATTGGAACTTGAGTAGGGTTGCCCCCAATGACCTAAATAATGTTAGCTGTCCGATCCTCCCATCGGGGTAACTCCCAAGGGGCAACCTCTATCCCCGTTTAATAAGTAGACTACTTAAGCGGGCGACGCTAGGCCGATGTTCACCTAAATAAAGGCTTAGAAAAAAACAAAAAAACAAACAAAACAAAACGAAAGACGAAAGACGAAGGGGAGAGAGCATTACTCAAGAAAGGTGCAAGGGAAAAGTCTCCACCTTCGGCCTCGCACTCTCAACTCCCCACACCACGCGACTCTCCCACGGTGTGCCGCTCGTCCCTTTTCAGTGTCCTCTGCTCCACTTTCGGAGCAGGTAGTGATTACAAAACGGTGCAGTTTGTTTATTGAGGCGCAGCTGAAGGCGAAGCAGAGATGGGGAATGCAGTATAGGGGGGACAGTAGGTGCCGAGGGCATACAAGGGGAGCAGGCATAAGCCGATGCGTTGGCCGCACTCTTTAAAGACCTAGTTTAGCAATAGTTCCAACCTTTATATTAATTTGTGGGCTCTACTGTACCCGCACTGTTCATTTCTCCGAAGACTGATCATCTTTCTAGTTGTTCTGCTCTCTCCCCGGCATTCCGTGTTGGTAATTAGATAAATAATTTATTTATGAACTATTTACTTTCGAGTTAAGTTCCGAGTCCGCTAATAGTAGTTCTCCGCGCTTTCCACAGCCAGCCTGGCCCTTCCCCCCCTCCTCTCGGATGAAATGCAAATTGTTTCCATTTTCCCTAGCAAATCATATTTTCTAATTACCAATGTGGATATAACTCTGCTAGCTCCGATTTGTGGTGCCACTATTGCGCCCCAGGAGGGGGCAGAGACAGAGGTGGAGAACTGGGGACAAGCGACAATCATCAATGGAGCTCATTAAGCCAGTGTTGTTATAACTGTATTGTGATGTAAGCCTGAGCTTTGTGTGCATTCTACGGTGCATAGGCACAGTGGAGTCTGTGCGCGAAAATGCTGGCTAAAAGTTGGTACAAGCCCTCGTTAATAAAATCAATATTTACGTTGTTTGCAGGTGAAACTGGACGACCTATCCCATCCCAGGAAGTAAGCACACTGTGCCCCTACATATTCATGGTATTCAGGCAGTCTGGTCCGAGTATATATCTGGGTTGCCTCCGTTACACTTTGCGCGATTCAAATGGGCGACGTGCGAAACCGTAGTAAGTAAAACAATTTAATTACATTTTGCACTTGTTTGTTGTTGGGGCTAATAGCATTTGCATCGTGGAGAACGAAGCGGCAGAAGGCAGAAGATGCAGCGCGAAATAAGGGTAAACAAATGCAAACAAGGTGCCGGGGCTAGAAGGGTTAATCATTCCACTCCGTCTCCGGCGGATAAGTCACGTTCCAGGTGGCCGACAGGTGGATGGAGTGGGTATGGATGAGTGCATCAAGTGGATCAAGTGGAGTGTGTGGCAAGTCAAAAGACAATTCAACTAATGAGGAGACTTGGAAGTAAGGCTACCAAGCTCGGTCTAGTACTATGAGATATCAAAATAGTAATTTTAGGGAAAGAGGCACAGTGTTTCAAGGAACCAGGACCAGACGCATGAAACCTACAATTATGAACAAACTTCCAATCGCCCTGGTCCATATGAAGGTCAAATAACATAAATTATGGCCCAGTGGAGGGCCCAAGACAGTGATCAGCGAGGCTGGGCCTGGTTCTGCCCGTGGGTCCAGGGCAGGCTCTATAAATAGAATCGCAATTGCTGCCACCAACAATTCAAGTCCCTTTTCTGTTAACTCCTCTCCGCATTTACGGCAATTTATGATTAATAAAGGGAATTAATCGCACAACATGCCAGCGAGTAGCCTCCGGCGACTGCTTCTGTGACTGCCACAAGTTCAAGGCCGCGGATCCCCAATTCCCCTATTGCCCTACCATGTTTGGGAGCACCGATTTAATTTTATTTTTAAGCTGGTCCATTCCTTCACCGGTAGATTGAAGCCGATTTGCACTCGAAGTTCTGCGACTGTTTACTGACTGGCAGTTGGGTGGAGCCCTCCGATTTATAGCCATTAGAATATAAACCGATACCGCACTGGCAGAAATTTGTATGTATGAAAGGTATCAGATTGTGGCAGACACCGATTGCCTGGTACTGCCATTTCCTGCAAGCTCGATTCCTATAAACAAGAAGTGCGAGCACCTGGACAGAGTAAACCATTTCCAACCAAACCTATTTCCATTAAAACGTGTCCATTTCGGAATCGGAGCGATCCCCGTTTCCATGGAGTTATATGATCTTACAGTAGAGCTACATTAGTGTGTAGATATGATCTTATATAGAGGGTGGCACATGGCGGGGCATGGGTTGGGCTATTATTTAACTTCCCGGCATTAATCTAGTTCCAGCATGGTTTATGATGCGCATTATCTGGTATAATGCCTTGAAAAATAAACAAAACGTTGCCAAAAAACATGGCAAGATTCTCCCGCCCTTAGCACGTCGTGTGGGATCGCTTGATCTTTCGATCTCTTGATCTCCCTGAGCAAGCCAAAAATACGGAATATATAAGGTGGCATACTAAATAGAAATAATGAACGAACAGAAATCCCTCTCAGACGGTGTCTGTGCCTCCATTCTATTCCACTTACGCAAATATTTTGCCAACTTATCGCGGGATATTGCGCCAATGCGCAAGGTCTCAGGCCCGAATGCAAAAATAACTCTCCTAATGGGCTAATTATTCGGTAGTGCTCTCGTGCTTTCCCCGCATTTCTCAAATGCCTTTTTCAGTCGGAGAGATACCTTTTTATTGCGAGTACCGGCCCCATCCGAGCTAGCCACTTTTTTCAATGATCCGTACAACCGACTAGACTCGGGCAGTTCGCGAGATACAACTGCAGATAAGTGGTATTTCTCAGATACACGGAATAAAAGAACGATAAGACGCTTGGTGAAATTCCGCCTTATCTTTGCGGTTTCTCAGGTGGCAAAATCTGCCACGTAATCGCCATCAGATCATGGAGGAAACCAAATAAGTTTTAAAAGATGATGATAACATCATGAAGTGAAACTCTTCCCTGTAGAATCGCTTCTATTAGTCAAAGATGGATTTCTACGATTTGAGCTTTCTTCGGGGCTTCGAAAACAAAGTATTTGACCCTCGAGACCTTGGCTAATTGAAAACCCGCCCACACATTAGAGGCCTACTCCCATCGGTGTACCATTGGAGTTCTGCCCTCGCGAAAACCCATCGCTGGGAGGCTGGGGCTGGTGCAGTTGCCCCATGCGGGAGTCAGGGTTTAACACAATTAACCCGCTCCGTAGTGCTGCCCCAATCAATTCTCTTTAAATGTCATTGACACGCCGGGCATGTTGCAGCCGAGCCATAATGGACAGGGGCACGAGTACAAAGGCATTTGGGTTCTTTGTGCCTTTGGCTTTGTTTTTTCCCCATTTCTGTCTGAAAAGCCTTAGACGTTGGCCGTTAGACGGCCACCATTTGGCTCTGCTAGCCCTGAGTGAGTCTGTCAATCTTGTTAGAAATGCGTTTGTCTTTCAAAAGGGCACGAAGAATAGGAGAAGGAATCAGAAGAATCCCCTTGAAGACGCGGCTAAGAAGCGGCTGCATTTATTTTTATTCGACTTTCGGTCATTTGGGCTTATGCTTTGTTTTTTTTTTTATTGGGTCTTGTATTTGGAATTCGTTAGGTTAAGTGTTGCCTCATTTTAGAATAACAGTGAGGTCTTCAAAGAATCTTGTAGATTCTAGATAAATCCATCAAATGAAATCAAATGACCGCAAGTTATTAGCCACAAATATTTAGTGTGTATCTTAAAGATATCTCATATCTCATAGGCGATCCCCAAAAGGTCGTCCAAGCCACTGAGGCTTCCCTGTACCCTCAACTTCGACTCGTAACGGTTAACAGGTATCCAACAAATAAGTTATGCGAAAAATCAAACAATTGCTGGGCCATAAATAATTATGCTAATCGCAGGCTAAACCAAAGAACCTGCCATCAGAAGCGAACATCCATGTAAATACCACGTAGAGTCTATAAATACATGCATAGGCATCGGCATCGGATACCCATACAGGCCCACCGAAGAGTATCTATGTATCTAGGAGGGACTATATGCGTGGAGGTTGGATTCTGTTTTTATTGTGTTCTATTTGGGAATCGTACAGAAATAATTGGCACATTTTCAAGATATTTAGACACAGATTTTTGGAAAGAAGACTAGGCCGCTGCAAGCTCCCATTTATTGCAGTCGCAAAACCATAGAAAGATACTTTCGGACATCTGACAGATGCGTGGCGGTGGTCGTTTGTCATCCGACAAACTTGAGCTAGTTTTTGGAAAATGCCACAAGGTCGGCAAAAGCAGATAGCAGCCACAAACTACACTCTTTTGGATGCACTTGCTCTGCCTGACTTGCGTCAGATACATTTATAGCTCGTAGCTGCAATCTCTGCAGGAGGCGGTGACTCTTAGGGACTGATACCTTTGGGGGAAGTCACACGAAAGTGATTCTCAGTCGATTCCAAATGAAATCAATCAAAAAACGATTCACTGCATTTCGTTGTTGTTGTTGTTGTTACTTCACACATATCGTACTTCACACACAGACACTATCACTCGAAAAAAAAGGCAATTAGATACTTTTTGTTTTGCGGTTATGCAAACAACAGAACGAATGTATCTATGCCGAACTGGTGCAAAATTTACCGAAAATGAATAAATATGTAATTATGAGAGCGACAGCTATTATTTGTTATTGTTTTTGTTGCTGTTGATATAGCTTTTGGTCGGCAGCGGCGACATTTACATTTACGCGCGACGTCGGCGTTGGCGACTAAATTTAGAACAACGCAGGAGCAGCGACGTCGACGAGTTGCGACGTCCCCAACACGCGGCAGCAGACTAACCGCTCTGCTATGCCGGGGGCTCTGCCAGAACGTTGCGGCAGCGACGGTGGCAGCACCGCAGCACAGCAGCACCCACAGTGCACAGTGGGGCTCGTTCGAAGTAATGGAATGATATTACGATATTACGAATATTAGGAAGGGTTTTGGTATATTAGGAAGGATTATGGTAAGGGGTATACGTCCTCATATTAAAAGGATTCCAAGCAGTACTTTTAAATACCCTTAAGGTCTCTTGGGGACTTACCAAGAACGTTTAGGAATCCCCAAGAAATCCAAGATTAAAAAAAAACTCAAATCTGTCGGCTTAGAAAATCTGAAAGATTTCTGTGCGTCCCACGGTGCAGTGGCGCACTGGAGCGAGAGAGTGCAGCAGAGAGAATACGTCAGTGGAGCAGAGAGACCGAAAGGGGAGCTCCCAAAGTTCGGCGCGCCAGCGCAGGTGAGCTGAGACGCCGCAAACTGGATGCTGCACTGTCTGCGCCGCAACCTGCCTAAGACCCCCTGCCTTTCTTGCCCCATTCCCCCCGGGCTGGCTGCCTCATCTTGCAGCAGCACCAATGTTGTTTTTGTTTCTCTGCCGGTTGTCAACGCGTAGGCCAAATATTTGAATGGGGGCTGCGACGTCGGCGCCAAACGTCGTTCGTCTTACGGTACCAGCGCTGGCGTCTGCGCAGCATGCAAAGCGGTACTCTTTGATTGGCCTGCCAATATACCGTTGCACAGTGGGTCTTAATTGAGAGGAGGCATTATTTATTAATTAAGTAGCCGATCGATAACTAGCTTGAATTAAAGAGGAAAGTAGCTCGAAGAGGTCGAAGTATGAAAAGTGGCTAAAAACTAAAAACCTCCTACAGATGTAGGCCTAAGATCACAAGCAGAATCCTTCGAGCCATGATTCTCTATCGATCCATGTCCTTCCAAAGTTCTCAACCATCCTTCCAATCCTTCCAAACATTGCCTCTAAAAGGATCTCCCTTATTTAGACTTCGATCCTTCCGGTGTTGTGGCTTTTATAGCTGACTTCCTCGAGTAATTCTCGAAATGGTATCCGAATCTGTGCTTCCCGTCCAACATGCCGCACTGTGGCTTCACTGTGCCCCATTGACGGCTTCTGCCGAGTGATAAAATAAATTTAAGCAGCATAATGCACGTGCTGAGTGGCGGAGACGTCGACTCTGGCGAGTCTGCCGTTGACAAGTACCGGTATTATGGTCGGATCTTCGGGTTCCCGGTTGCATAATCGTAGCTGTACACGTGAGAAAATATTTAGGCATGTTGCAAGTTAAAATTATGATTGTTGGTATCTCTTGGGATAATTAAACAAAGTTTTTGAAGAAGTTATTTGGCTGAAAAGTAAAACTTTATTCAACTTGGAGGTGATGTATTTTTTCTGAGTGCATTGTAACCATGCGCTTGCGCCTAGTCGCGTTGCTGATTTATGCGGCAAGGAGGCGGTGGCAAGGGATGGGCGGCAGGTTACGTTATTATAATCGGAATCGGAGGAAACCGTTCACACGAACTGCTGTTGCACTTGCCGCTTGACCGACATTCCCGGGCTCAAAACCCGTACGTCGGGTTTCTGGTAACGAGCACTTTTTCGGCGATTGAAGATTTAAATTAACCTGGGTTCTGACATTTATGAGATTCCTCGGCGGGTATCTGAGTAGCTGGGTGCAGGAAACAGACTTACTTGTCATTGTAGTTGGTGGTCTGGTTGGTCTGGGCCTGGCTAAAATAATATTTCAAGAAATAACCGTTGCGCTGTGCTTACCTGCGGGCGAAAAAGATTGGGAAAAGATTTTTCACATAAATTAGTCAAAGGCTAAGTCGAGCTGAGGTGATAGGTGGAAGAATATGGTTATGGGTTTATGTTTAAATCAAGCCAACACCAATAATAAACTAATTAGTCGCAAATCCAACACCTCGGAAAAGTAAAATAAAGTTAATAACGTGTTTTTTAAATAAATTTTCAAAAGAAAAAGCTTTTAGCAGGTGCCGCCACCAACATGGCTGCCAACATGGCGACCATGGCTACCATAGCTGTGCCTTAGCCAAGTTTCTCACCAGAAGCAACAGGTGGTTTTTAAAAGACGTCTCTACATTTTGTTTTAGCTTTTCTTTAGCTTTATTTTTTATACAGACAGTCTAAGAATTTAAATTTCTTAATATTCGTGGCTTGCTAATGCATCATTTTATTTAACTAATTAAAATTTATATTTATCATCTAAGTATAACTCGTATTCTTTGATCAAATCCTGAGGTCACTCTTGGAATTGTATTATAAATATTTCTGACAAATTGTAAGCTTCTGTTTTTTTTGGAATTCACTTGGATGATTAATTTTAAAGGCTTGTTACCAGTTTCTGTTACTTCTTTATTTCAAAAGTATGTTTGTTTATTAGCGAAAACTTGCTAAATGCCGAGAGAGAAAAACTGGTTTAACAATCAGAACCAATTCACACAGGAAAGTGGGGCTATGGGGCTGACAAGGTGAGAAGGTGAGAAGGTGACGGGGTGAAGGCGAGGGCGAGGGCGAGGGCGAGGAGGCGTGGCACAGTATAGGGAACACACATAATAAATTAAATTTCGATGGCAACTCTCGATTGTTTCAGCTCGAAAGTCAAATAAGTCGAAACGCTCCAATGGGGCTGATGACACCGGATCACAAAACATGTTATATGGATTCTGTTTAGTTTTGGTATTCTTTGGTTCGTTATTTATGGCGTTTTTGCGGATCGGTGGATCGGTGGATGGGATGCGACGGATACACAAATGTGGAGCCTGGAACAGGTTCGGATGCGGACACTGATGCTCGGGTGTTCTGGTGGACTTACCTGAGCATTACCCATTAGAGCATCCTCTGCTGGCGGCTCGAGTTCTAGCTTCACTGGCAGGACCTCGTCCAAGTTCGCGTAGATCGGCTGTTCCTCGCTGAGGCTCTGGCGCAGCTTGCGCCTCTCGTCCTTTTGGCCCTTCTGACTCTTCTGGTCCTGCTGACTGCCCGCCTCTGGCTCGTCCTGCTTCTGCCGCTTCTTCAGGTGGGCATTGAGGTTTATCGCCGACTTGGACTTGGCTCTGGCAAACCGGGCGGAGCAGCGCAGAGACTTCAGCACGCCGTAGGATCGCGCGTTCGCGAGCTTTTCTCCAGAGAGGGGAGAGAGATATAGGTACTTAACGTATATATATAGAGAAAGAGACAGCACAGGGGGAGGTGGAGGTGGGGCCAGTGGAAATTATTTTAACTATGTATGTAGAGATTACTTGCTAAATCGTTTCATAAACAACTATTGCTAATGATATTAGTAATAATAAGCAGAGTAGCTTGTGGTGCATAGAGTCTCGGGGATGAAGATACTTTAGCTGGGAATTTGGAAAGATATTAAAAATATTCGAATTTGCATGATCATGAAGTCATCAGAAAACGCTTTTCGTTCGACGGAAAGCAATAAGCCATTTATCTCAAAGTTGCAAATGGGCGATTACCACCTACGTTCGTTATTTTCAGGTCTCTAAACCTATGCATCACAAAGCAAATAATTATTTTTTAAGGGGGGCTCTACTTCAATTAGCGGAGCCATACACTTACATAGATGAATGGAAGCCGGGTGCGGGTGAGGAGGAGGAGGAGGGAGGGTTCGGTGTGGGCCTGTTCACTTTCTATTGGCCGTGTGATGGCATGCCAAAATGCCAGCAAAAAACTATGCTTATGGAGTCTTTGGCTCGCCAACTTCCGGCAGAGCGGAAAATGGCTGCGAGACTGAAAACGGCCCAGGTGAGCCCAGGTGCCAGCCTGCGGATGATTCAAGGCGTTGAATTGGAGTCTATACAGGTATGTTTTTTTTTTTTCTATATATAGACACATGACCGAAGCGACCGCAGCCAAGTCAATGTCTGTAGATAAAACCAATGAACTAAGTAGCAGGTAATGACAGTAAATAAATTATGCACTGCGAGAAAAGCAATTCCTAATTGTAAGCTCCTAACGACATGCATATGAAGAAGGTCTCCTATCGAAGCACGTCCTCATAAATCTATGAAAATGGTCTGTAAGTCATCAATTTGTATGTAGGGCTTACACCCCACAATATTTGGGTGTGTCTGCCTATTTATATACTCATAAAGCACATTCATATGACAAAAAGCCATATACAATAAATTTCTCCCAGTGCACCTACTGCGCACTTGCGGCTGGCTGGCATTGCCAAGTGTTCAATTGCAACAACAAATCACCGGCAATTGCTACACCAACATTGCGCATACGCCCCGTGGCCTCTCACTCGAGCACTCACATACTATACTATACTATACCGAGCTTATGAGTGCTTCTGCCTGAAGTGGGCCAGCAGCCAGTTGGCTGAAAACTGGAAAACTCGGTTCTCGTTGCCGCAATTGCCGAAAGAAAGTTCACATGTTCGCGTAGAACAAGTCGAACCAGTCGGCCACACTGCGAAAAATGATGGGGACCTCTCAAGAGCGCATGATACAGGAGAACTTCTCAAGTTCTATTTGAAAATCGCTTGAAAAATCACTTTCTGTGATTATGTAAAATAGGTATTTACGTGAGACTGTTGCTACCAATCATTCATTTATGAAGTGAGCCTCCCTGTGGGAACAGCTTTGAAAAGCCACAAGTTGAATGTGAATTCAAGGTAACACAGGGCTCTGCTGGAACTGACTCAAGGCGGAATCGTATCTATAAGCTTTATAAGCCGGAAGGTTGCCACACAAGTTGCCTCCACAAGCAGCACGGGTCTTGCCCAATCTTTTCAGAACTGGAACCAACATATGGGGGGATAGATAGGTCACTGGGAAATGGGAACTGACCCGGACTTTTGAAATCAAACTGAACCTAGAACTAGAAAGATATAGCTTCTATAACTTGTGGAGCTACCCCCTCCCACCGATGATGCATTCAATTCGCATTTCGTTACACGCTCCACAGAACAGCCACAATGCCAGCTAATAGCTCATCCGACACTGGCTTCTGCAGGAAGCGTTTGGCAGAATGGA